GTGAAAGAGCTTAGCATAGATCAGGAGACAAAGTTTTAGCTCCGCATCCACCTTATACTTCTCCTTAAGTCTCAGGTAGCTTGTTTAACCCCCCTGGGCCTTAGTCTCATCTGTAAGATTAGGGAGGTTTGATGCGACAGAGCTCTAAGAATCCTGGAAATGCTAACATCCTAAAAAGGCAGAGAGACAAAGCACGGGCCATTTTCTATAATTTTCATCAGCCCAGAAAGGCTTTTGCATCGTGTTGGAGACATTTCCATCAATGGACAACATTCTGGGGCAATCCGCTCAAAGTGGGGTGCACCTGCTCCAGGTGCCATAGGGGGACTCATTGGACTAGGGAAATACTAGAAATTCTATTTACGTGGGATTTACTGTGTACACACTGAAACAGAAGCACACACAGAACTTACAAATAACCTAATAAACAGCAATAGAGTTTTGAGAGGGAGAGAGGAGGGCAGGGAGACAGGGAGAGAGAATCTTAAGCATGTACCACAGCCAGCGTGGAGCCTGACGTGGGACTGCATCTAACAACTCTGATATCATGACCTGAGTCGAAATCAAGAGTTGGGACGCTTAACGACTAAGCCACCCAGGCGCTCCAGAAAAAAAAAAAATTTAAATATGTGACCAAAAAAAAAGTCTGGAGACCATTGACCTAAGAAACTAGTTAAGTAGATGGTCAAATCCAACAGTCTGACCAGCAAAGTTGTGGATTGCAGTGTCATGATTAGCTTATCACAGTTAGCGACTCTAATGTGGTTTATGTCCTCTCAGGACAGCAAAATCATACTTGATTTTATATCAAGTTGGGTTTTGATCAGAGGTCTATTCTTAAATTTATTAATTTTCAGTTATGTTTCTGCCATTACTCCTGTTTGTAGGCCAGGAGCCAGCGAGCTTCTCCTGTAAAGGGTCAGATAACAAACCTTTTGGGCTTTGCCATAGTTTGGCCACATAGTCTCTTAACGATGCATCTCTGCCATTTAGTGCTAACGCAGCCTCACACAATACATAAAAGAAATGGCATGACCGAGTGCCAATAAAACTTTATTTATGAACACTGAAATTTGAATTTCACGTAATGTTTGCATGTTACAAAATGATCTTTTTTTCCCAACCATTTAAGAATGTAAAAAAACTTTCCTTAGCTTGCAGGGGCACTCAAAAGCAGGTGATGCACTGGTTTTGACCTGTGGACCAGAGTTTGCCAATCCCTGTTTTAGACCACAGAAGTTTGTTTCTTAAGCTTGATTCCCTATGGGTAGAACACCAAAAAATGGGACATGCATTCAAGGATATAATGAACTTATTTACGTATCAATACCTCTGAACAAGAAACACATGCAAAAAATAAGCTGTGGAAACACAAAGCTAAACAGAAACCCAGTATTAATGCAGGAATTGAGAGAAATGTATAATTTATCTTGATCTTGGACTCGAGGGGAAAATGGGGGGAATTCCAGGAGAGTCTTACTGCTCTAACCAGTGGGCACCTTCACAAAACACTCCACTTTCTACTAAGGGTTCATGCTGCTAAATTTCTTAATTTCCTACAATTAGAATTTATTCTAGTTTGGATATCTCTAGTAATAAAGGGAGCGCACATCAATCTTTGTTGAAAGCTAATCTTGCCTGGAACCAAAGGTAAACAACAGAAGCTAGAGCATTTTGTTGTTGTTGTTTTTGTTACTAAAAAAAAAAATTACCCTCTAGAGTTCCCTAAGAAGGAATACTGAAGAAACTGGCAAGGCTGACCACCTTGAAATGGTGGAACAGGAACGGGGGACCAAGTGGTAGGAATGGAAACAGTGTTTGCTCTATGTTCTCATCTACTTATTGACTTCAGTCAGGTGGTGTTATTCAAGCGAAGAGCTAATCACAAACGTAAGAAGTGTTCCAGACTAATTTATCACCCACCCTGTCATCCCACCTTTGCAGGATACTTTGTGGTGCTTCTTAAATGATGATGGTTCGGTGATTTGTAGCCAACGGCAAGGCACTTGCCTCTCCGAACCCAATAATGCACTTGATGCCCAGAGTGGGCAGCTTTCAGAGGATGAAGCCAACATGCCGAGAATTGGACTCTAAAAATAATCATTTTGCACATTTCTTTTAGCCTCCTTTCTCTCCATAAAGGCCTCCACAGATGGCTTCTTTACATCATGCTCTCAAATGACTAGCTGTTAAATATTCATACTTATGGAAATTGTACTGTACATACTCCAAACCCCCAGCCAGTTAAGCATTTGTATTTTCCGTCTCTCAAGGCCCTTGTTCACGGACCTCGTCCTCTGTAAAACACAAACTCGTGCACAGGCACACACACACACACCCATTGTAGACACCAACTTTCCACTTCCTTACGACTAATTTGCCAAGGAGAGTAGTTCTTAACCAAGGGACCAGTGATTTTGCCACTCAGAGGACATTTGGCAATGTCTGGAGACATTTTGGGTTGTCACACCCCGAGGAGGGGGTATGGTGCGGTTGGGTGTGAGGAGCAATGCGTACTGCTGGCATCTAGTGGGTAGAGACCAGGGACGCCACTAAACATCCTACAACGAACAGGACAGCACTCTGCAAGGAAGGGTCTGGCCCAAATGTCAATAGTGTGGAGGCCCAAGGGACACACGGTGAGGCGAAAAGCAGGCTTGAGTGCAGATAAAACAGGAAGGGGAACACGGTCAAAGCAAACTGGAACCAAACACTTGGGGATGGTGGAGGTGCTCAATGAAGGTCAGGTCTCTTAATCTCTTACTCAGATGAATACCCTAACTTAATAAGGTTATACATTTAAAATCCTGTTTCCTTGCAGTCTTCAAGCTCAACTTACACATTTTTTTTAAGGATTTTTATTTTTTAAGTAACCTTTCCACCCAACATGGGGCTCGAACCTACAACCCTGAGATCAAGAGTTACACACTCTACCAAAGCCAGCCAGGTGCCCGCCCCTTAACTTACAAATATATTTTTTTAAAATTTTGGTTAAGGGGGGCGCCTGGGTGGCTCAGGCCTTAAGTGTCTGCCTTCGGCTCAGGTCATGATCCCAGGGTCCTGGGATCAAGCCCCACATCGGGCTCTCTGCTCGGCGGGAAGCCTGCTTCTCCCTCTCCCACTCCCCCTGCTTGTGTTCCCTCTCTCGCTGTCAAATAAATAAAATCTTTAAAAAAAATTTTTTTTTTGGTTAAGGGATGCCTGGGTGGCTCAGTGAAGTGTCTGCCTTCGGCTCAGATCATGATCTCAGGGTTCTGGGACTGAATCCCACATCAGGTTCCTTGCTCAATGGGGAGCCTGCTTCTCTCTCTGCCTGCTGCTCCCCCCCACCCCGCTTGTGCTCTCTGACAAATAAAATCTGAAAAAAAAAACAAAAACCAAAAAAAAAAACCCAAAAAACAAAAAACAATGCTATCCCTTTAAAAAAATTAAAATAAAAACTTTGGTTAAAATGTAAAACACTCCCTCTCACTTGTTCAATTAATACTCAATTACCTCATGTATTTGACAGATTAAATTCCCCTAAACATTAATACCATTTACAAATTTGATTAAATTCCCTTAAGAATTCCAAGCTACAAATTATGATTCTCTTAAGCATTTCAAACCACACAAAGACTAACAAACAAGCCATATTCCAAACATTAAAAACAAAAACAAAATGCGGGGACACCTGGGTGGCTCAGTCAGTTAAGCGGCTGCCTTCGGCTCAGGTCATGATCCCAGGGTCCTGGGATCGAGTCCTGCATCGGGCTTCCTGCTCAGCCGGGAGCCTGCTTCTTCCTCTGCACCCCCTGCCTCTGCTTGTGCTCTGTCAAATAAATAAAATCTTTAAAAAAAGAAAAAAAACCCATCCATGCATCCCCATCCCTCCCTCCCCACACCCCTTCCCTCTGCCTTTCTCCAGGACAGCAGTGCTAACTCCTGGCCCAGGACACCTAGGCTGGACAGAACCCCACCCCGTGCTGGCTCCCAGAACTGTGCTCGTCTCCTCATCTGTAAAGTTTAGAGTGAGGGTACGCAAACCTTGCAGGGGAGGTAACTGATCTTCTTTCTGTGGTGTCTTCTCTTCCCCTCTTTCCCTGTTCTCTGCTTCCCAAGGCCAGGGCAAGGAGCTGACTGGACTTCCTGGCCAACCCTTATTTCTCTGTCAAGGAGCCCCAGAGCTCAATAGTAGCCTAAGGCTGCACCACTCCCTCCTCCATCCACTCCAGCTTTCTCAACGCCATGCGCAGTCACCTCCTAGGCTCAGGCACATAGCATTCCTGATGTTTTCTTAACTCCCATAACCACAAGAATCCCATCTGCTTGCTCGTTTACGGTCTTGACATGAGAGGAAGTACCCAGCGTGTGACCCAACGCTGGACGCACAACAGTTACTTATAAAACCCTTAGTACAGGCACCAATCCCACAAAAATGAGAAACACCTTTCATGGCTTCTGAGCAAAGTGACTTCCTCTGAAACCTACAGGAGGACTGAAAGCCACGGAAAGGAATACGGCAAGTGCTCCACAGCGGCCGGCACACGGTAGGCGCACAGTATGCCGACGGTTTTCTACACTAGTTCGTTTTTTCCTAAGCAGAGCTCAAATTTTGGGACTCACAGACTGGGCGGTTGCTCAACACCAGGAATGATTTTAAAGAAAGAGCCTTGTGTCCCCAAGCCTTCTAATCCTTGTGGCCACCCTTCCGTTTTGTGGCATCTTTCGGGAAAGACTCCGTGAGGTAAGTCTCAGAAGCCGTGGCAGGACCCCTGCCCAGACCTACTGAGCTGTGCCCACGTGTGGCAGGGTGTACCTTTTCTGCTCTGAAGAGTGCTTGCTGGGTTCCAGCCGAGCCACACGGAGAAGTCTTCTCTAATTCATTCTAAATAAAATGCCAACATTAAGAAAGTCCAAGCCCCCAAAATGAAAGCTCTCTAGGAGAAGACGGTGGCATAAATACAGCTCGGACGGGAGCTCAGGACCCGGAGAAAGAAAACACAAACAGAGAAAAGCCGTATTAGCCAGTTTAATTTATTTAAGAATCTTACAAAAAAAAAAAGAAAAAAACAAAAAACACGACAACAAAAAACTAAATACAGAGTTTGTTATGCTTCATGGTTGATCGTTTTTTACTTGCAAGGGTAAACCTCGCTAAATGCAGCCAACACATGTTTATTGCATGAGACCCAATTTTTAAAGTTACATATCAGAATGGTTGGAACCATCGCTTCTGGACACTCGGTACTGGATTGACCGTGGAAGGCTGAATGAAGCAGTGCGTACCCTTCGTACACGAACGGACATTCAAGACAGAGGAGCAATATACAAAGGGAGATATAAAAAAAGAGAACCAAATAAAAACCACCAAGAGTTTACATCCACCTTAGTTTCAAATTGTCTTTGGATTCCATCACACGTTGTCTCGAGACGCACCAAGTCAGATCAGTAAAGGAGGAAGACCTATGCCTACTTAGTATAAAAGTATCCTTTGCTCAGCAGAGGTAGAACCTGGCAAAAGTTTTATTGCAGAGATACAGCATACCTCTTCCCACCTCTCATGGTTGATGGTAGATACAAGTGGTTATTGAAAAATAACGATCAGTAGTTTGCAAATTCCGTATAAACCATGAACAGGATGGTTTTTCTCCCTAATGGCGGTGAGACTACAATGTGCTATGTAGAAGAAACAAGCTCTCTGCCCCTGATGTGGAAGTCGGAAAGAAGGCTCAAAGCTTCTTTATCCTCTTCAGTGCTACAGATGCCGTCACAGCAAGAAAGGCCCTAGGGGTGGGGAGGTGGAAGAATGGGGCGTGCTCACTAAGGCGCCTGCGGATTGACCCTCAGACCCGGGGGAGGCCTGAGCTTCGAGAAGCAGAAGAACCAACTTGGCCAGGCTGCGTCCCTTGCTGGGCTCACGCCGGCGGGCGCTCTGAGCTGTCCCGCCACTGCAGCGCCCGGGATGGCTGCTGCACGCTGCCCCGCTCACCACTCCTCGGGCACCAGAGGCAGGGAGTGGGCACGGTGGGTCTGAGCCGGGACTCCCACTGGAGCGCATCTCTGACAGGCCCTAATTTAAGATATGCTAGGTTCCAAAGGCTTATCTACATGCAGACAACTTGTAAACTTTCAACAAGTCTAGCAAGTTCGACAGGTAAATGAAACACGTACATGAGTGAAAGGCCCAAGAAATGCTCACGGCAAGCCCTCCTGAAAGTCATGGAGGAACATTTTCTTCAAAGTGCAAAATTTTTAAGTAAAAAAACCCAATGTCTGCCTCCCAGCAGATAATTACCACCATTTTCACGAGCCACCCCTGGGTCCTTCCCTGCTGGCAACACTCATTATCAAGAATGCTTTAATCCAGCTCAGCAATGAGGTTTCTGGCTGCTCCATCCAGTCAAGGGCAACTCCCAGGAGTATACTAGTGGTGAGAGAGGCGCAGGGGAGCCTGCTGGCCAGTCCACCCAGAGTTAACGGCCTCTTCTACCCTCAGCACAGAATCAACCCATGAACTGAAGGCTCATGGAAGCCTCCAGAGCAGTTGTGTTGCTCTCTCTGGGAGGACAACTGTTCCTTCAAGTACATTCTTTATGGAGACCCACATGTACCGGGCCAGTCTCCCCATCCGCTATTAGAATCCTTAACAGGTGAGAGCAGAAGCAGATTACCTGTGCTCACTGCAAAGTAAATTTCTGATTTCTTATTTGCAGGTTAAAAGTATAGGCCTGACTTCTTTAAAAAACACAGAAACTTTGCAGCCAGCAGCAGGCCATCAATTACTGTCAGATCTGCAAGATTTTCTTCTCAGCTGGAGAGCCACACAGATGAAAACTTTGGTACAGGCCTGGAAAACTGTAAGGGTAGGAGCAAGTCGGGTTACTGAAGAGGTACATTGGATCCCAAATGCACTGAAGAAGTTAGAGGAGCTTAAAGGAAGTCTTGGGAGGACATTTTTTTTTATGTGAAAACATCAGGCTCACTATAGCTTCCAAAGAGCAACATAAATGAGCATAACTAGTCATATAATGACAGTATCAGAAATTGCACTCAAGTACATTCCCCCCAATACAATGCATTGCACACAGTAAAAATTTGTAATAAAAATGCAAACACAATCAGGCATGTTGAAAAATATTAACACAAAATAGACATAGGAATTCTATAGTAAAGATGCAAAACTGAATTCTAAAATATATGAACAAATTCAACGAAGAAGTTTTCCATACTTTTGTATAAAAAAAATTGTAAGATGCCCCATATGGGAAGTCAAGAAAAGAATAAATAGGATTGAAGGGAAGAGGGAAAGGGAAAAACAAGTGGGTGGGGTCCCAATTTACAAGAAATATTTACATTCAGAATTCAAAAGAACTCAACATTTCTATATATACACATTTATGTACATATATATAAGTACAGCCTAAAATAAGAAGGTGGGTCTTGGATTTCACCTCAAGTACTCAGAAAAAAACTACTAGCTAACTTGAGTTGCGGGTATCTAGATGTGTTTCCTTCACTTATATGCCCTTTAAAGACACTGCATTCATATTCGATAATTGGCATGCCATGAGGAACTTTCAGAAACCGTTTCTGCTTGCAGCTGCAGCCACGACATGAACTGCCTGCCGTACCCCAACAGCAAAGTGTGCACAGCCCTGTGTGTGGGTATGTGCTTAGCCAGGGAGAGCCCAGACACAAGGGTGTGATGTGATGCCCATCATCACAGTGCCTGCCTTTGCTACTGGGATGCCTGAACTAACCCAACGTCCGGCTAACTGGATCCCAGGCCTAACAGCAACTCTTACGTAGCACCATTCTCAGAAACTACCAAGTATCACTCAGGTACGTTTTTAAAGTAAGAGATCGTAGACATGGACCTTCCTCTTAATATCTTATCAAGAAAAGGACCAAAAGGGAAAATACTTTTTCTCTGCTCCTACTTTCATAAACTGAGATGCACCAATCATTTGTAATCTACTGCTTTTTGCCTTCGTGCTAACTGGGAAGTAGAGGGGGTGGGGGAAAAGGCTCGCATTATACAACTGTAAATGCTGTCCTGGTGCCCTTTCTGGTCGTGCCTATTAGGAGTTCTAATAGTATCACATGGAGGCTAGCAAATGAATGCCCCAGGGGCTGCAGACACAAAACCTCTAAGATGTTACAGTCCCCTGGAGCTTGGTAATCTAGAACTTTTACCTTTACAGATGAAGCACACTAAAATGAAAAGGGTTCCTGTTGCAGCCAAAAAAATTTTCTGAAGTGCTAATTAATTGGACTGGAATAAATATATGTACACAAACACAAACTAGTACATTGCTTTGGATGCAAGTTCTTGCTAACTTATATACAGATGTAAAGAAAAGATATTGAAGAGTCTATCTGCAATATAGCAGCAAAAAGGGAAAATTCCTTAAGATATTTACTTTTTGATCAAGTTGTGTTTAAAGAAATACTCCGTTAATACTTTGAGGAATACACATCATTGATGCCTATATCTGGATAATCCCACTGAACTGCAGATAGAGACCTTGTGGTGTGGAGATTGCTAAACTCGGGGAACATGAATTACCCCCAAGATACCATCTGAGCAGCTCTGGACTCAGAAAGTGGTTTTCAGCACAAATGACACTGTAAACTCTGAAAACACGAACATGATTTACAATCGAATCTTTTGTGCTCAGAGCCATATTGCTAAAAAGGGAGGAAAGGCATTGCAGGGGCCAAATGGACTCACATCGGGTTCAACAAGGCCCTGGGGTCAGACGTGGCATTCAGATCCTGAAATACATGGACCTGTTTTACAGAAGTTAGCTGTTGTTAAGACTTGATTTTTTGACAGAGGAGGACCTTGAATCCTGGGTTTTCCCATGCTGGCCAACCTGAACTTGCTGACTTAGATAAGGGCACAGTGTAAAGGTCCTATGTTCAGCCTCCAGAGAGGGGGATGAGCAGCAGACTCTTGGTGCTCAACACACTCCACGCCATGATGGGCATGATGGGCAGGGGCATGTGGCACCTCAAATCCCCTTCCATTTACATTGGTCGCCTTTTTGAGGTCTCCTCGGAGACTTTTCAGAGGCCTTATTTCTGGACCTTATTTTTAAAAGCAAAACAAAGCTGTTCCTCAAAGAACAGTACATACACATGCCCTTTGCATCAAGATAGCTGTTCAAAAGAGCAAACATTACATCAGGAATTATGGGCGTCAACCAACTGCATGCTACAGAATTCTCGTACTGATGCTGCTTGGAAGTAAGCATACCCTGCAAAAAAAGATACCCCCCACACAAAAGAGAAAGTTGGGCCAAGAGCCTATGAGAATCTGTCTTCCCTAACCCTGCCATTTTGTTTCACTGAGGGGAACAGGTCTGTTAGGGTTCCCTTCCCCAATTCTATTTCACTTTAGTGTGTTGATGGACACTGAACAGACTACCGGTTTAAAAAGACAGGAATTAACTGAGAAGTTTTGCTGCAGGTGGGACAATCTGCTCTTGGCTGCCAGCTGGGTCTAGTGGCCCTAACAAGGAACACTGGTTGATATTCAGATGGATCACTGCCTGAGATAGAAAGCCTAGACTGAGGATAAAAGTTGCATCCACTTGGCAAAACATGCCAAAGAACAGAAATTACTGTCAATGTGTTCTCCTAGGTATTAAGAATAAATAAATCTAAAGGAAACTTATGGTAAACTTGACATAAGCAAACTCAGGCTTAAAGAAACACAGGAAGATGAAAGCCCTAGCTTTCCATCACTGAACATCCATCCCACCTGGTTCTGCTAGAAGTTTAAAAAGTAACAAAAGAGAACAATTCAACTTGAGCAACATTCAAAAGTACTATCATTTCACCCCTTCCTCAATACCATCTCAATTTTGAGGGCGAGCCCAATAGAAGCCCAAACAGAAGGCTACCTGGAATGCTGAGCAACACACAAGTTCTGCAGAATCCCCGTCACAGACTGCTTCTGCAAGTGGTGAGGACCTAAACACGAGTCCACTTCTGGTTAGTATAATAACTTTTTATTAGACATCTACAAGACTGTGGTATCTTGTAGCTTTTGACCAGGTTTATACAATCTCAATTTTTCAATAGTGCAACCTGTGCAAGCAAAAAAAAAAAGGGGGGGGGAGGAAAACAAAAGGAAACAAAAAAACCAATTGTCCCCTCACTTGTTTTTATAAACATCTATTATAGGCGAAACAAAACTTACCCATATTATAGATAAGTGTCTATTCACATTTGTACATTACCATTTTTAACAGCTTGAGATAAACTCTACAATGTCTTACAACACATTAAACAATATTCAAGTTACTGGGTAACAACAATAACAACAAGAAATAAACATACAGCAGAAGCCTCAAGTGTCTCCTCATTGTCTAGTTTACAGCTCAAGTACGGTTTCCTTTTTTATGAGTGACAAATTAAGATAATGAAGTAAAAAAAAAGATTGTTTGCAAGATGGAAGCCAATTTGTACTTCTAAAACTATCTTTAAGTTAAGGAAAATGTAATTTTAAGAAAAGCAGGCTTGTAGCCGTTTCTGCAGCACACATTAGGAATACTATTAATACATTAAAATTAACTTTTTAAGAGTTTTACCACAAAAAATGTTATGTACTCATTACCTTGACAAGAAACTTGGGGCAGGGAGAATGGGCCTGGGAGTGGAATTTGCAGGGTGAGAAGCAATACCCAGGTATAAACACTATAAAAATGCAATAACCAATGCTGTACATCTACAAAGTTTCTCTCCGTTACTTGACTCGTTTTAATCTTGTTTACACATGCTTTCAAAGACATGCACTGTCAGAACAAAAACTAGAAAAAAACCTGAATGCATGATATGCAACCTTTCATTTCATGCTTTAATAAACCTATTGTTTAATAAGTTGGAAAAAGAAACCAATATATATTTTCTATATTTATAGACTCAAAACACATGCATCTGGGGATAACTCCCACAGCAATTGCATGGATGTACTGCGTTAACCCTGAGCACTGTGTAACATAAAAGTAAAGCCAGTTTGGGAAGTTCCAAGCATTTTTAAACCAATTGTGGTTTGTAGCCTTTAACAAACTCACAAACAAACAGACACACACGCACGCGCACATATCCCTCTGCTCACCCAAAGTAAAAGCATATGGGAAGTACCATGGGAAAAGCGAAGGAAAGACATATGTACCACCATCGGCACTGCTGATTTTCAGTTTTGCTATCTATTCCAGGTTTGTCCTTATTCCCAAAAAAATTAACTAGAGAGAGCACAACTGAAAAAAAATTATAATTCTTTGGAAACTGTCCCTGATTTTTATGCAAATGATATGCTTCAACAGCATTTCAGATACATCCATGTCGAAACCTGTCTGTTCTTATGCGTTGCTCAAGTTGGCGATGCTCTGTGGGTGACGCTGCTGCCAGAGCTGTTTCTGTTGGACCGCAAGCTGTTGAGACTGGTCTGAAGTTGACAGGAGATTTACAAGAGGAGACACACAATTTGCAGGAATGATCAAACCTGCAATTAGAAACAAGAATTTAGGAAGGCTGCATCCAGGAGAGCTGTATTTTACAGCTTCACAGCACATTCCAAATGAAGCATAGTATTAAGTGTAACGAAGACGACGCCACACAAAAACTAAATGAATACCTAATAACTGAACTGGCCCCTTCAGAAGTAATCCAATTCCTCGGCAGCGTTACCCACAAATACCTAAGCATATGCACGTCTACGGCAACACCACCCTCTTGGTGGTGGACTAGAAGGTCAAGTACAGTCTCTCTCTCTCTCTCTGCTATCTTTGTAGCTCCACAGACGCACCTAACACAACCTTCTTGGGCAAGTACTAATGTAGCAAAAGACTGCAGGATACTGGCTGCAAATTCAAACGCTGACTGAAGCAGCCAACTTCCAAGTGGGGACAGTACAGATGTTAGTAAACTGTGGAAAGTATACGTCCTGGGTAAAGGAACTTTAACTCCTCTCACCTGGGAACAGGGGCTCAAGATTTCACATAAGCTGGTGCATGTGCACACCTTTTGAGAAAACGAAAAACCAGGCTTTTGACTTTTAAATGGTGGAAACTAATTCAAATCCAAACTTGCAATAACCGAAAATATTTGAGGGTCAAAAAAATGTTCACGGACTCTGGCCCACAGACTGCCCATCTGCAACCCATGATAAAAATGGAAGGTTGTGGCAAATGAAACAAACATGAAGCAGCAGGGATCCCTGCGAAGCCTGTCAGTGAGTGAATGGTGGGCACAGCTGGCCCGCTCTGCCCATGCTCTCTGCACAACTCCAAGCCGGCCTCTCTGCACAGTAACTTTAGTTTCAGTCTCTGTTTGGCTCAGTGAATGTAAACAGTAGACTTCAGGGACTCCTCAGCAAGAGGCTGGGCTTAGTCTTTACACCAGTGAGGAAGGGGAGCAGGAACAACTGAGAGCAGCATAAAATAAATGACCATATCATAACTTAAGCCAGAATCAACAAAGGCTTAACTTCCATTCAACCTTTCAAGAACATATAAATCAAGCTCTATTCCACTACTGCAATAGATACTGAGATTTTAAAATGTAAGAATCAAAATTAAAAAAAGGATCTGATTTTTTCCAACAGCTCAACCCCCCAAAATTAGACTCACCTACAATCCGTTGTCCATCCTCTGTTCTTAGCCGAACTATCTGCATCTTCACATTTGTGCCACTGACAGATGCCAGAACACCTTCAACCTTTGTCCAGACACTCAGAACGGAGCCACATAATACATAATACGTGCGGCAACGAAGACCTATTTCACAAACTAATCCCAAGCTGGCTTTTTTGCAGTTGCCACGCCTAGGACAGATAGGGGGGAAAATATATATGTATATACATACACACATGCGTGCGCACACAAACACACACATAAGGCTTACAAAGTCTACCTATGTTTCAAGTGGAAAATGTCCTGGCACGATTTGCCTTTCTTTACTGACAGTTTCATAAATAACATCTTTTGGCATATTGGATTATCCTTTCCAATTTAAGGTATCACTGCTGATTTAAGTTTCTAAGATTTATTTTAGAAAATAAAATTTCTGAGTCTTGACTCCTTGTAAAAGGTTTGACTTACTGGTTTTGATATCCATTTAAAAGGTCTGTCATTTTAACATCCATTCATTTACTATATTGATGCTAGTTTATCAAATAATTTTGCCAGTTACCTCTAAAAATTATTAAACAACCAATATATTCTAAATCATGTAACTAGGAAAGGCTTCAGCAAACCAAAATAATGAAACCAGTAAATTTTTTAAAAACTGTAAAACAGGAAGACATGGTTTGTGGTTAAATTTACATAATTCATCAATAAAATTATCTTTCAAATAATAATTCAAGAGAATACATAGTACTGGGCACCTTTCTTGCTAATACTCAAAGCAAATGTTTTAGAGAGGATTTTTGTAAGTTAACTTTAAAAATATTTTATCTTGAAAGCCTTTCCTAATTTCCAAAAGCACTAATATGCTCTCAAAATGAAAACAAAACACTGCTCCTATCAAATTTACCTACCTACATGTGTCTAAAAACCACCTAGCTAAATTCATGTATATCCTATATTCCTTTTCATAAAGTGGGCTGGATATCCTATTGACTATTTAATGGGTAAGAAAACAGTGAGACCTATGATCTGCAGTGTATTAAAATATCCCATACAAGGCCCTGAAATGAACATTTTAAGAGGTATTTATTACACAGTGACTTGAAAGAACACCCCTCCAGCCAACCTAGTAGCATACCAGGATCACTTCCCAGGCTCAACAACACATTTTCTGGTGCTGTCAGCAACTCTTAGTTTCCTACAAGTTCCCTAGCCTTAAAAATGAAACTGATTTGGGACACCAGTAAAGTTTTTAAAAAAGAAAGGAAAAAGAAAATAAAGGAAGGGAAGGAAAAAGAGAAGGAGGGAGAAAAAGGAAGTCTTAACAAGAAGAATGATGGTCAAGTCCATACTGCCAGACAACAGTTGGTCAGAAGTAACAAAGCATTAGTGAAGAACAGAGGGGACACCTAGAGAGTGTGTGGTCCACAGACATACAACAAGTATTTCTGATAGAAGGAATGACACCTAACAGTAATCTGTTTGTAGACTTAGACAGCAAAAGAGCGAAGGTGCTTTTAAATTAAATCTTGATCACATTTTGGAAAATATGGTGAGAAACATGAAAATACTAACCAATAAGCATGAGTACAAGTATCTGCAGATGAATTATACTGATCTAACCAGTGGATCAGGGCATCATCTGAGACTACCTGTGAAAATAAGACAAAAATTCCATTGAAACAGTACTGTTTTAAACAAACTGGTTGCCTTCTTATGGTCTCTAAAGCCAACTTATAGTCATCTCGATACGGACAATCTGGCCCTTGCTACTGCCTGCATTTGCATGCCATTCATAAAGTCCTGCCATTAGGTACTTCCTACATAATAAATGTTTCAAATAGCTAGTTTAATTATAATTGTTTACAAGTGAAACTGGCTAGGAAGAAGAGTAATATAAGGTAATACTAAAAATTAACAGTAATGTTAGAAAAAAACTTAGTCATTCACCGTTTTACTACAAATTACTGCAAAGTATAAATATGGCGGTTCTAATTTCTGTAGTTAGCACTGGAAGTTTCCTTTTTTGACAACACAAGTTGTTTCAAATAATCGTCGTACAATTTTCTTAATGGTTGATAACATTAAGACTGGGATTTTAATATAACAACACTTGACAACATGTTTTCTGAAAACAATTTTCCAGTAATCAAATAGAAAAACTGACAAAATAACTTTAAATATAGATACATAGCTCTCCTAAACAGTTTCAATATATTATTATTAAAAAAGTATTCATAAATAGTATAATGTACAAATGAAAAAAATACCTTCTTATATTTCTTTTTTAGATCAGCATAAATTTCTAATTTGAGCTGTTTCCCAGTATTTGGTCTATAAACTAAGAAAAGCTTCTTTTTAGGGTTCACTTCTTTAACTAAGATGGCAGTTTTCTTGTTGTTCCTTATCTATTTAAAAAAAAAAAAGCGAGAAAGTATAAAGATTTGTGCTGTACACTTTAAGATAAACTTGTTGTTTGTACCATCATATTAGCAAATGCAATCCTTTGAAAGACTGTAATGCCGAGTAAGCACATGAATCTCTAACTATGGGGGAGGACGGCAGTTGCTCATCTCCCTGAGTTTCACAAGGCCCCACCCAAATGAAAGTTCTGGGATCCTAATTGTGAGGTATGCTGAACACATATGCTGAGGGTCAAGATACTCCTTAGAAGATTGTTTTGAATAAAGCTTTAAAGCACAAATGTCCAGTGGAGACAATTTTGAACACGGACTTGTTCTAGTCCATGTTCTTGCCTCAGACATCCATGAGGGAGGAGTCTAGGTAGTGGGGCAGGCTCTTTAGAGGAAAATCCTTTTACCTCTACTCTATGTTTAAAATTTTTCATAATAAAACGTTGTTTAAAAATGTTCCTCTCGGGATGCCTGGGTGGCTCAGTCAGTTAAGCATCTGCCTTCGGCTCAGGTTATGATCCCAGGGTCTTGGGATTGAGTCCCGAATCGGGCTCCCTGCTCAGTTGGGAGCTGCTTCTCTCTCTGCCTGCTACTCCCCCTGCTTGTGCTTTCTCTGACAAATAAATAAAATCTTAAAAAAAAAAAAAAATTAAAAAAAAAAAAAAACTTCCTCTACTTGAAGTTACAATGAAACATAACCTCCAAGACAACGATTTTCATCACCCATGGTTCCCTGCATTCATCTACTAATCCATCAGGGTTGTCTCTCCCTAGGGTTGCCATTAAGAGTGAAGTGAGAGGTCACATGATTTGTAAACAGTAAAGCTATGACAGGAAAAAGCCAAAATGTTGAGCAAACAATACATAAATATGTACTCAGAAGTGGAAGAAATGGATGCATCAGACAAACGATGTAACTTACATATATTTTTAATTTTTTAAAAAAGTTGGACTTATGGCAGAAATGTTAAGAGGAAGGAGTTATTAAAAGGCCCATTAAACTAAAGGAAAATTAAGATTAGAAAAATTAATATCTCCTCTAAGAATGGTGAATAATTTCTAAGCAATAATCTCTGGAGGAAAACTGAAGGAAAAAGAAAAGTTTCAAAGTAAAGAAACTGCCAGCTCCTCTACAAAACAAATTGCTCACTGAGCTACTTTTGATATTAAGATAGTTCTTACACTGATAAAAGAAAAAAACTTAGTATTTTACTTTTCTCTTCATGGATATTAAAAAATCCTTTATCGTTTACTTGTTCAAATGATTTAAACATTATTTATATAATTACCACAAAGTCTATAAAACAATGGTTAAGGTAAAAATTACATTTTACATGTTTTATCAGTTGATGTGAAACATTCAATAGAAGTATTAGAGTACTTAGAGGACAGTGTTTAAAGCATGTAACAGTGCAAACTGTCTTTACAGTGTCAAGTTAGTTCAGTGTAATTACAAAATAAATCATCACACCACAGTGGAAATAAAAGTAATTCCGACATGGTTTTCTTAATGTTAACACATGGTAAACATTTGTAAAGCATGTCTGACAAACAGCTGCACCTTCCTGGAATGATGCCCCTTCTAAGGCTGCCTCTCCTCACATCCAATCACCTGCTGCCATGCAGGAAGTAACAAAGGACCAGTATTACCACATCCTTTCACTCAAAGGAAGATGACGATCAGCACGTTCCTCAAAATCTACCAATGTGTAAATTCTGGCAATAATTTGGAATGAAAAACCAATAACCAAGATCCTAATCTGCACCAATCAAAATCCCATCTAAGGGAGAAATCTGAATAAAATCTGGTGAATTATGTAATAGTGATATAATGCTGGTTTTGATATGTTACAGTTTTGTAAAATGTTACCATTGGTGAAACTGGTGTACAAGGAACTTCTCCATGACTTCTCATAACCTCATGTGAATCTACAAATGTCTCAGTAAGATTTTTATTTGAAAGATTTTAATTTACTTATTTTAGAGAGAGAGCGAGCGCGCGCGCGCAACTGGGCGCTCATGAGCCGGGGGAGGGGCAAAGGGAGTGAGGGAGAGAATCTCAAGCGGACTCTGCACTAAGCGCGAAACCCAACGGGCTTCGATCTCATGACCCTGCAATCATGATCTGAGCCGAAATCAAGAGTGAGACACTCAATCTAATGAGCCACCCAGGCTCCCCTCAATAAGATTTTCAAAAAAAACAAAATAACTTAATCAGGAGCCAGATTCAGTTTGAGAGCTTTGCTCTTGGATCAAGGACCAGTAAAATCAGGAGTGCGACCAAACTGGGCCCTGACGCTCCTAAGTTTAAGAACAGTGGAAGCGAGAGAGGGAGGGAGGGGAAAAGGAAGAAAAAAACAGTAAGAAAGAATAGTAGAAACTATACATAGCCTACAAAACCTGAAGTATTTACTATCTGACCCTTTATAGAAGAAGTTTGGGGACACCTGCTCTAAATAGCTTATTTATGGTCTCACACTGTCGCTGGCATAACCATATATGGTCTCTTTTATGCAGTTACATCTTGAACCTGGTCTTCGTTTACAGTTGGGTCTCTCTACAAATTTGGCAAATAAAAAAATGTGGTATATACATACAATGGAACATTGTTCAGCCATAAAAATGAAGCACTGGTGCAGCACCTGGGTGGCTCAGTCAGTTAAGCATCTGCCTTCAGCTCAAGTCATGATCTCAGGGTCCTGGGATCGAGCCCCATGTCAGGCTCCCTGCTCAGCATGGAGTATGCTTGAGATTCTCTCTCTCCCTCTCCCCCTGCAAGCAGGCATGCACACGCGCTCTCTCAAACAGATCAATCTAAAAACAAACTAACTCAGGGAGTAATGCTTCCAAGAACTAGAGGATTCTACTGCAGAACAGTCTTGAAACAAAACAATTAGAGACAGTAACTAGTGAGAGGTGAGCATTAAATTTAAATTAATTACCTTTAGAGCTAAGATTAAGTATTAAAAGAAAAGCATACTTTCGAAGTGCCATACTCTGAGAATGCAGAAATAGCACAACTATGTTTTAATGAAATGAGAGAATGGGGGAAAGCAAAAAAATAAAAAGCTTACGCTTTTTTCCCAAAATTATTTTCAGGGAATATTGGGGTATAGTATAGTATCAGTAATCTTTTATCACCCTGTGTGCCATGGAGAATAAAGATTATTACTGTAGAAGAAAAGGCACACAGATAAAGATCAGAGGTGACATAAAAATCCCATAGTCTTTAACAGGAAAATTCAAGATACTGTACCAGGACTATAGATGATTACATATATGCATGCATGCATTTGTGGACGTGCGTATGCCTGTATGTAAATGTATGGGTATATACACACATACATATTTACACTTCCCTCCTCTTTAGCTCTACCCACAAATACTAAGGAATTATTTACACTAACTAAAAAAATGAATCTTTCAGATAGAAAACTTACTAAAGGCCTACAGAACTAAATATGAATGCAGTCCTTTATGTAGGCCTAGAGAAGATCACTGCACCACGAAACAAAGGCGTCCAATTAACTAAGAATGTGTAATAATTCAAAACTCACACTCAGTAACACCCCTCAAAATACATTAAATGAAAGCGTCTATAAAAGGACAAACCCAGTTAAAATGACAAGTTATCAAAACAGAGAAAACCTAAACAATTGGAAAACCGGCACAAAGTAGATAGATAATTGCACTGCTGACAACAACAATGCATGATGTATCTGAACAGTTCACATGGCAAGGAGACAAGTCTTACTTGCAACGACAAGTAAAAGCCATCATCTGGTCCTGTCAGCTCAGCCCAAATCTTGGTAGCTTCCTCCCAAGACATTCCCCTCTCCACACTAATCTGTAAAAGAAATAATACAACTTAAATGACACTCATTTCTGTGAGTGCCGATGACAGGTGGTTACGCCTACACGTGCACGTTTCCCAAACTTACAGTGTATAACTCTACGTGACCAGAAGTGGAATATCCTGGAGTCAAAAACTTCTTAACATCACTTTTCCTCACTTTTTCATCTCCAGAACCAAGATCTTGAACAAGAAAAAGCAACATATAAACGGAAAAAGAACACATTATTAGGAATACACAGGACATTTTCAAAATTTCTCCACTTACCTAAAATTCCCATATCGTATCTTCCATTTTTTTTGGCATTTTGAACAACCGCTGTAAGTGTGTCTGCAAAATACTGAAATAATGCGTTCTGCTGATGTACTTCCATGCCCAAAATTCTATTTAAGAATTTTCCTATGTTGTTATAATCTGTAAGAACAAGATTATATGAAAGATTTAATGCATTCAAATAGCAATTAAAATCCACTTGCCCCTGGAACTAAAATAAAAAACAAAAAACATTTATTCATCTAAGCCTAGACCAAGTCTCACTTCTTCCACTACGGTCTTCCCTCACACCCACAACCTTGTACTGCTCCCAGAACAGAGCTATAATTTGACCATTTCTACCTCTAGCAATTAGCACGACCAATACATGCTCCAAAGATGGTTGCCTTATTCAATTTGTGCACTGTCAAACTTCACTTACTGAAAGTACAAACACAATTTAGCACATGAGAATGTTTGTTCTCCAACATGAAATCTTGACTTGTAAAAAGGTCTAAGTGCTGTAAGTCTGTGAAGCTCAACTTTGGGTACAAAATTAGAAGCTTCAGAAACATGGGAAATTACCAAAGTCTAAGCCTCAGCACTGGCTTCGGTATTTTTTAAAAGCAAAGCCAATCATACATGCAACTTGGGTTGAGAATTGCTGCTTTGCAGACAGAATAAAGGTTTAATCTCTTTTGAATAACCACAGTAGCAAAAACCACCAAGAGTGCTTTATGAGCACTCAAGAAGGAGGGATTGAGAACTACAAACTTGAAGCTTCCCCTTCAAGTTGACAAAAGCATAAAGAAAATGGTCTGTAATGATACAGCAATGGTTATGTCTTAGGTCTATATACAAAACTCATACTCTTACCTTTATCTAGAGTAAGAATTCCTGAACGATCTTCTACATTTATCAGGCCAACTCCTATCAGTCCTTGTCGAACATCTGTCAGAAAATTAAAAAACCTTATAACCCAAATAATTCAATGAGCTATTATCCGACTAATCAAACTAGATCAAGTTCTTTTTTCAGATGCTTAACCGACTGAGTCACCCAGGAACCCCAAACTAGAACACAAGTTCTAGCATTAAAACACAGCATAAGGTATTTTTCAGTTTCTATTAGCTGAATTAAATGGAACACACAGTCCTCAAAGGTGTTTTAGGCATTCTGAAATCCTACAGTACTCAAACTTCATACTGTATTATCTCTATACAGTTGTCACCTACAGAATATAAACAATTTTGAACATATAGACTAGCTGATTAAATAACTGTGTAAATAAGCTATTAATCTTGTTTCCCTCCCACACATTATCAGTATAGACAAGGTACTGCAAAAGATAAGCAACATGTGTAACAGTTAACACGTTTTGAATTGTTACTGAGAAGGCAGTTTATGGGGCTCTTTAATACGTGCCAACCCAGACTTACAGAACAAGGGCGCTAAGAGAAAAGGGCAACAGAAAAGGAAGCATTATCATATCCTATTTACAAATTTAATAAATCAGCTAATACTCTGCTACATGCACAAAACTGTTTAGATTCTGCAGGTGACAACTGTGTAACCAAAAATTCTCCTTTTGGAAACCAATCTTATGGGGGGAAATCTATATAGGATAGCCGTATAATTTCAACAGTGTTTGTGATGGTGCAAAAAATTGAAAACCACCTGAATACCAATAAGGGAATGATTAAAAAAAGAAACTACTGTATAAGCCAGCTGCAGAATATTATGCAACTGTTAAAAAAAAATGTTAGTGCTATAGGTACTGGGTTGTAAGAGGTCTCTGTCTAGGAGGTATGCAATGAGAAAAGTACACTGTAAGTAATATTAAAGTAATATTAGCAACATTTAAAAGAAAAGCTGTGTTTAAACAAACATGGAGAAAAGATGTGGCAGGCTGCCCCTGGTTCAGATTGTCAACATTGTGACCTCAGCAGGTGAGAATGGAAGGTGGGGATTAAGGGGAGAACACAGACTCTTTATTACCTTTTTTTCATTACTTATAGTAAGTAACTCATAATTTATTTTTCTTAAAGATTTTATTTCTAAGTAATCTCTACAAAACCCAACATGGGGCTTGAACTCACACCTCTGAGATCAAGAGTCACATGCTCTGCCAACTGAGCCAGTCAGGTGCTTCAAGTAACATGTAATTTTATTTTATTTACTTTTTTAATTTATTTTTTATTTTTTATTTTTTTTTATTTGAGAGAGAGAGACTGAGAGAGAGAGCATGAAAGGGGGGAGGGTCAGAGGGAGAAGCAGACTCCCTGCAGAGCAGGGAGCCCGATGCGGGACTCAATCCCGGGACTCCAGGATCATGACCTGAGCCGAAGGCAGTCGCCCAACCAACTGAGCCACCCAGGCGCCCTTTATTTACTTTTTTAAAGATTTTATTTATTTATTCATGAGAGACAGAGAGAGAGAGAGAGAGAAAGGCAGAGGGAGAAGCAGGCTCCCAAGGAGCAGAGAGCCCGATGCGGGACTCAATCCCAGGACCCTGGGATCATGACCTGAGCCGAAGGCAGACGCTTAACCATCTGAGCCACCCAGGCGCCCAGTAACATGTAATTTTAAAATTACAAGTAAACGGAGTCATTTTAAAAACAACAAAAACAACAACAACAAAAGAAAAGCAGAAAGGGAAGAAAAAGAAAAAAAAAAGTCTTTATTGGTTTTTTTGCTTTGTTAATGCCATCAGTATGTCAATGTGGCTTGTACCAATACTAAATACTGGTTTCCAATTGGAAAGGACTTTCTAGTGAAAGTCCTAACTCTACAATGATAATATTTCAAGTATCTTACATCTACGTATTTTCCAAAATATTTTCACAGCTTCCTGAATTATAAAATAAATGATCAAAACTCAAAACCATCTAGACTACTTACATTTATGGGCAAAATATATTCTACCAATTTGAGAGATAGGTCAAAGAGTTTCTATAGCATATGCTGGACTTTAATATGGAAATTTCCAAACACATACAAATGCAAAGAGAACATTCTATGAACCATATACACGTATCCGTCACACAGTTTTAACTATGAGTACACAGCCAATTTTGTTTTATCTACACCCTATGCCAGCCTCCACAGACTACTTATGTCGGTACTTTAAAATTAAATTTTAAGAACTGGCATAGTGATTTTAAATTAACAAAACCATTTTCTTCTACTAATCTAGTATTAACATGCAATAAACTGTCAAGAGCACAAAATACTTCACATGAATGAAATTTAATAATCTACTGATTATAAGAGGCCAACTTAGGTGTCTATTAAACTTTAATTTCTCAATTTTCATAGTTTATGTCCAAAGAAAATGAAAAACAAAAGCACATGTCAGAAGACATTTTATCCAGAATCTATAAAGAACTTATCAAACACCCAAAGAACAAATAATCTAATCAAGAAATGGGCAGAAGACATGAACAGACATTTCTGCAAAGACAACATCCAAATGGCCAACAGACACATGAAGAAGTGCTCAACATCACTCAGCATCAGGGAAATACAAAACAAAACCTCAATGAGATACCACCTCACACCAGTCAGAATGGCTAAAATTAACAAGTCCGGAAACGACAGATGTTGGCAGGGATGCGGAGAAAGGGGAACCCTCCTACACTGTTGGTGGGAATGCAAGCTAGTGCAGCCACTCTGGAAAAAGTATAGAGGTTCCTCAAAGTGTTGAAAATAGAGCTACCCTACGACCCAGCAATTGCACTACTGGGTATTTACCCCAAAGATACAAATGTAGTGATCCGAAAGGGCACATGCACCCCAATGTTTATAGCAGCAATGTCCACAATAGCCAAACTATGGAAAAGGCCTAGATGTCCATCAACAGATGAATGGATAAATAAGATGTGGTACATATATATACAATGAAATATTATGCAGCCATCAAAAAATGAAATCTTGCTATTTGCAATGATCTGGGTGAACTAGAGGGTATGCTAAGCGAAATAAGTCAATGAGAGAAAGACAATTATCACATGATCTCACTGATAGGTGGAATTTGAGAAACAAGACAAGAGGATCACAGGGGAAGGGAGGGAAAAATGAAACAAGACGAAACCAGAGAGGGAGACAAACCATAAGAGACCCAATCTCAGGAAACAAACTGAGGGTTGCTGGAGTGGTGGGGGGTGGGAGGGATGGGTAGCTGGCTGATGGACATTGGGGAGGGTATGTGCTATGGTGAGAGCGCTGTGAATTGTGTAAGACTGATGAATCACAGACCTGTACCCCTGAAACAAGTAATACATTATATGTTAATTTAAAAAAAAAAAAAGGTTTTAGTGCCTACTTTGTACTCATTTTTCTCTTCTGTGATTATTTTTAAAAGTTACCTTTAAAGAATTCTCCAGGGTAGTCTGGAGGTGGTGATACCATAGGAGAATCTAGGTTGACAATGGATTTCATGACAATTTCTAAAGCATTTCTTCCATACTGCAATAAAAAAAAAACAAAAAAATTTAACTAGTCAGCATTTGGATACATTTCAATCACATGACCAACTGAACACTATAAACACTATTATGGTAACAAAGATTCAAAAATAGCAGGACTCAATTATCTTTTTATATATATATTATATACTATACAGCCTAGTGCCTAGTTCACACCTATGCACACAACAGATGTCCAGTAAATAATTTCATTTCTGGAAATTCACACTTGATTCATTCACAAGTATTTATTATATTCCTATTTTCTAACAGGAATGAAAATAGGATTATACTGCAGAGTTGACCACCAAAGATCAGATATGTGAAAATCTTATAGGACGTTATCATTTTACAGTGAAACCTTAAGAAGAGGCAGTTTTAAGTTTTAAACAGTAACCACTTTCTCTTTTTGTTCACCACAGACACCACACATTTACCAAAAAATACCAGATACTGAAAACTGAACGTACCTTATTATCAAAATTGAACCTGCTCAGATCTCTAGATTCTGTTGCTCTTCTGTCACCATGTGTAAGCGCTCCCTATCAAGACATAAAATTTCCAGTCAAAGCAAAGAAGACAGGTTGTATTCACCATCTTTTACACACAACTACACAACCCAAGAACTTACCAAGCTCTCAAGTCTTTTAGCAACAATAGAAGCAAATCTTTGTTCCCCTGCCAATTCAGAAATCAGAAACACATACTCGGGAGCAGTAACTTGGTTTGATCTATGAGTTCGTCCTGTAAAGACATTAAAAATACTGTGTTTACCAGATACAGAGTATTCTGAGATCTATTCCTAGCATCTTAACACTAAGATGGTATTCAGAAACCCATTAAGAGGAAAAATTAAAGAATATAACAATTACTGGACGCCTGGGTGGCTCAGTCGGTTACCCGGCTGCCTTTGGCTCAGGTCATGATCCCAGGGTCCTAGGATCGAGTCCTGCATCAGGCTCCCTGCTCAGTGGGGAGGCCTGCCCCTCCCTATCCCCCCTCCTCCCCACTCATGCTCTCTCTGTGTCAAATAAATACGTAAAATCTTTTTTTTTTTTAAAGATTTTATTTATTTATTTGAGAGAGAGAGAATGAGAGACAGAGAGCACGAGAGGGAAGAGGGTCAGAGGGAGAAGCAGACTCCCTGCCGAGCAGGGAGCCCGATGCCGGACTCGACCCAGGGACTCCAGGATCATGACCTGAGCCGAAGGCAGTTGCTTAACCAACTGAGCCACCCAGGCACCCCAAATAGATAGGTAAAATCTTAAAAAAATAAAGAACAATTACTGTAACTCCCCCAAAGGTACAAAATAAAAAAAACGGACTTGAACAACATCCATATTCAGAACAATTCTCCTCCTTACAAAAGAACAGGAACTGCCACAGAACTGTTCAATGATAAACGTATTATTATTTCTGCCCCACTTGGGTTAACCACAATGGTGCTGAAGCACAGCTGCTCTGGATTCTTCAAAAAAAAAAAAAAATTTTTTTTTTTTTAATTTTATTTTAGAGAGAGAGAGAATGCACACACGGTCTGGGGAAGGGGAAGACAGGCAGAGGAAAAGAATCTCAACTAGACTCCCTGCTGAGCACAGAGGCCGACACAGGGCTCAATCCCGTGACCCAGAGATCATGACCTGAGCCAAAATCAAGAGTCGGATGCTAAACTGACTGAGCTGCCCAGGAGCCCCAAAATTATTCTTTTAAATTATCAGGTCACAGGGACATGAACATATAAGGCAAGGGAAGAGCAATGTATGTCCTCAGTAAAGCCACCGAGGACATGAGGTGGCAGGTGCTCTGACCAAGACCACATGCATCCTGAAGATCGATAACAAAGATACTCCCGAGGAACCCTGTTCTGAGATATAATGCCAGAAACCCCAAGAAATCCAACAAAGATCTTTTACATTTCTTAAAACAGGTAAGAAATGTATTCATGTATTCTATAGTTTTATATGTAATACACAAACAGCTCCAAAATCTACGCCATAGGTTTTGATGTGTACACATTTCCCCAGTGATTCCTAGCTATCTATTAAGTGAAATTCAATGTAGGAACTTACCAAATTGCTGAATTGCTCTATCAGCACTCCAGGGTAATTCCAAAGTCATATGAACTCTTCGCCTTTGATTTTTAGCTCTCCGATCTGCTTGTAATGAAATACCCGAGCTGGCAGCTTCTGAGATAATAGCAATATTCTGTATCAAATATAAGGGGGAAAATGATCACCTCTGCACAAAGACAAGTAGGCAAGTACCCTAAATAAAGTTCTTAGAGTACTAGTGGCCCAATACCTATTCTCCCCTTCTTCCTAAATTATAGCCCCCCCCCCTTCCCCAATTTAGGCCAGGTACATGGCTGCTAAGAATCAAGACTACATTTCTCACTTTCCCCTGCAGCTAATTGTGGGCATACTCCAGTAGGGTGTAGATGGTATGAACATTTAAGAAATGTCCTTAAAAGTCAAGGACATGTCCTTCTCTTCTTTCCTCTTCTCTGCTACATGGAATATAGAGGTATAATGACTGAATCTGAAATAGGTAACTTGAAAATGGAGTCTCACATGTTAAAGGAATAAGAGAGAAGTAGCATTATCTTCAAAGAGCCATAAGAGCACTGGTTTACCTACGCAAACTTGTACATGGAAGAAATTATCTTCTACCTCCTTTAAGTCAATACGATTTTTAATTTCCTGTCACTTAACAGCTAAAACTAATTCCAACTAATACAACTGTAATGCACCCGGGCATAAATTCATGAAACAAAGTATGTAATACAACTGATAATACGTCTACTTAGTCTTTAAAATATGTAACATGAGGGGCACCTGGGTGGCTCAGTCAGTTAAGCATCCAAACTCTTGATATTGACTCAGGTCATGATCTCTGGGTCATGAGAGCAAGCCCAGTGTTGGGCTCCATGCTCAGTGGGAAGTCTGCTGGAGATTCTCTCTCCCTCTCCCTCCTCCCCAGTTCTCACGCACGCACTCTCATTCTCTAAAGTAAATAAATAAATCTTAAAAAAAAATATGTCACACAAGCTACTAAATGTATTTATAAAAGACAACTTTGGGGGCTCCTGGGTGCTCAGTTGGTTAAGGGTCTGACTACGGCTCAGGTCATGATCTCAGGGTCCTGGGATTGAGCACCAAGCCTGTGGGGAGTCTGTCCTTCTCCCTCTGCCCCTGCCCCCTGCTCATGCTCGGTCTCTCAAATACAAAAAAATATTTGTTTTTTTTAAATATTTTATTTATTTATTTGACAGAGAGAGAGGGACCACAAGCAGGGGGAGTGTGAGAGGGAGAAGCATGCTTCCCGCTAAGCAGGGAGTCCAATGCGGGCTTGATCCCAGGACCCTGGGATCATGATCTGAGCTGAAGGCAGACACTTAATGACTGAGCCACCCAGGCGCCCCAATAAAAATCTTAAAAAAGAATAAAGAAACTTTGATAGTGGTAACTATCCTTTTTTTAGTTGCAGAAAAACTCACTGAAATATAAAGAAATATGTGGTTAAGTAGAGATTTTATTTTACCATTTAAACTAAGGAATTAAGTTTAAGTGGTACTCCTATTTTTTAGAAATCTCATCAGCAAACGCTTATGGCAATTCCAAGTAGATGGGGAAGAACTAGCCTGAGAATATCAAAATTGACTGACATTTACTGAACAGTATACAAAAAGCCTCTGGCAGCAACCAAGGTCTCTACAGTGGTGAGGTATACAAGCCAATCTACACATCATTCAGAACGATCATCCTGATGTGACATGTCATAGCAGTAAGAGAAACAGCAAAACCAAAGGACACTAGTAATCTGGGTATGCTTAAATATACTTCTAGAGTCAAAATTAGACTGACACTGGAGAGTAGCATTAGATATGAATCTACTAAGATGTCCTAAGAGAACACAATATTTTAATACTCTGATTAAAAATTTAAAAAGCCTCCAAAGTTATTAAGAGCCACATCTAATTCTGTGCACAATACTTTATTACATTCAATTTGTGAAAAAATGAAAATGTGTAAAATGTTCAGTGATTATAAGCAATTATTACTAAATATTCATTTAAATATACGGATATTGTATTTTCATTGAAAAGCATTCCACAGGGCGCCTGGGTGGCTCAGTCGGTTGAGCGACTGCCTTTGCCTCAGATCATGATCCTGGAGTCCCAGGATCAAGTCCCACATGGGGATCCCTGCTCAGTGGAGAGTCTGCTTCTCCCTCTGACCCTCCCCCCACCTCGTGTTCGCTTTTTCTCTCTCAAATAATTAAAATCTTAAAAAAAAAAGAGAGAGAAAGAAAAGCATTCCAGAAAAACATACCTTATCTCCATCCATAAATCTTTGTTTTTCCGTGATATTTAGTATTTCCACAGGGACATCAAGTTCAGATCTTGACTCATAAGATATGCTTCCATCATCATTGCTTACAACCCTCCCTTTGCGACCAGTCATCTGCAAAGCCAAACAGAGTCACTTACAGTTAAGGTACCTGATTAAGATGCAAGAAGCATAGGACCCCTGCATTAGAGAAACTTGGTGGGACAGAAGGGGATGGTGAAACCGACACGCACGGTGCAGCTTGCTGTGTCAGGGAGAGAACAATGCAACACAGTCTCTGGTTTTTGACAAGTTCCAATTCCAGCAGAGAAAGCAGGTGTGTGGCAATGATCACACAGGCTGTGTGACATGTACAATAACAGATCAGTGTGTTGAGTAAACACACAGATACTAAGGACAAGAATACACTGACTCTAGGATGACAGAGAACGAAGGTTCTAAAATCTAAGAGAAAATTAAGACAATTACGTGATGATATCCAAAATATCACTCATTCTAACCAAAAAAAGGGACCAAGACACAGCCCTGATCAAGTCATATTTACCTCAGCAACATTCTCAGGGCCACCAAGTTCATCAATAAGTTCATCCAAGGTATTAGGAGGGAGGTCTTCAGCTAATTTCTCTAGTTTATCAAGTAGGTCTTTCTTCATCTGCTGGGCCCTTTCCACAGCATCCTGACTTGTTATAAGGCTACTGTTACTGTTGGTGTTACTGTTAGCTAGATAAAGTACATTTGTTAAAAATCAGTACAAAGTTTAAGTACATTTTAAAAGTACATTTCAACAGACAAAGCAAGCTTCCCCATAGATACCTGGTGCACTGTTAGGAGCAGGCAAAATTACTGGTGTAGATGAAAAACTAGGTCGTTTTGATCCAAGACCTGATGCTAATAAGGCACTTTGAATAGAATCTGGATCTATACTTTTCTTTTTTTTTTTATCTTTGCTTTTTTTGTGATCTTTTCTGATTAACCAGGGATCTGAAAGTTAAGGAAAGATATGTGTCAAATCATTTGTAAAAGAAGCACAATCTTCAAAGGAAACAACGCTTGGAATTTTTTGTATTAACTGGTAACTTATAAATCATCACCAACTTCGGTGGTCCAGTATATCCAATACACTATAAGGTACAATTCCATAGTATGAGGTTAAAAATCACTGCACAAGTGACTGGGTGGCTGGGTGACTGAGTCGGCTGAGTGTCCGACTCTTGGTTTCGGCTCAGGTCATGGTATCAGGGCGGTGAAATCGAGCCCCATGTCGGGCTCCACACCCAGCGCAGAGTCTGCTTGTCTCTCTCCCTCTGCTCCTCCCCCTACTCTTCTCTCTCTCTCTCTCTCTCTGGATAAATAAAAATCTAATAATAATAATAATAATAATAATAAATCACTGCACAAAACTGAGGCCACTATCTCACACAAATGAGCTAAACTACAAAAAGACAGACAAGCTCGGGGAGGAGTTCTCCACTAAGCAAAGATTAGATTCTGTGCAATGATTTGTACTGCACTGGGGGAAAAAGAGGTTTTATTTATTTTTAAAGATTTTATTTATTTGACACAAAAAGAGAGAGCACAAGCAGGAGGAGTGGCAAGTGGAGGGGGAGGGAGAAGCAGGCCCCGTCCATGGAGCAGGGAGCCCGATGTGGGGCTTGATCCCAGGACCCTGAGATCATGACCTGAGCCAAAGGCAGACGCTTAACTGACTTGAGCCACCCAGGTGCCCCGAAAAAACAGGTTTTAATACAATATCCCATTTCAAACACACAGAAATAACTATCCTTTCATTAACATTTAATATAGTGACAAACTTACCATCTTCATCATCCTCACTAGACTCATCTCTGAATGGGTTGAAATCATCGTCATCTCCGGAACTCATGTTTTTAGAGCTCTCATAGTCACTTTCTTCATGATCAGACGCGTCAGATTCACTTCCACTGTCATCGGAACTGCTACCAGTAAGGCCACCTACTTTTCGTGCTTTTTTGGCTTCTCGAGTTATTTCTTCACCTACCCTCAAACCCAAAACAAGACAGTCAGTCCAAACACACTCTTCTAAAGATCTAGAAAACTACATTTAGTTCAAGAGTTCTTTAAGTGAGAAATACACAGGAAAAACATTTTAAGTGTGTAAATTTCACAAGTGTTAACCTTTTAGATTTCCATAAGAAATCAGGTTATGTTCAATTATTAAGAAGAAATTAGACACTTAAATACAAATTCAAGACTGCATTTAAGTGCACATTTTAAAATGAATTCAAGACACACAATCTCCAGCATTTTCACAGTTCAGTTGTGAACAGGTTGAGAGCAGAGACCTAATAATTACAGGTTTATAGAATATTTAAAAAATAAAATACTTTAAAAAATAATATATGGAATATTTATACAAATCTATAAAACTGTATTTGTAAAAAGTCAAACAAGGTGCTGATTTGAATTATTTTATTGAGTATTCAGGGAAGACATCTGGAAGGTGCCTGAGTGGCTCAGTCGGTAAAGTGTTCAACTCTTGGTTTTGGCTCAGGTCATGACCTCAGGGTGGTGATATCGAGCCCTGAGTTGGGCTCCACGCTGGGTATGGAGCCAGCTTAAGATTCTCTCTCTCCCTCTGCCTCTGCCCCTCCCTACCACTCATGGGTACATGCTCCCTCCCCCTCTCTAAAAAAAAGAGGAAAAAAAAAGGAAAACAAGAAGACAAAGACATCTGGAACAAACCATTGAAAGTTTACCTATTAACGAGACAAATGGTAAAAAGAACATAATTTAGGAAAGAGAAACATGACGATGTAACCATTTTAAGATGTCACTGATTCTAAAACATAGCATTACTTTTTTGCCACAATAAAAAAATATTGTCAATTATAATAACCAATCCACTTTCAAGCATATTAAAAATGTAAAAAACTGTCCTTCTTAGAACAGATGAAATAAGGTTAAAGTGTCAGCCGTGTGTTTAGAACACACCTAGCATCACAGACAGTTGTTCCCATAGAAGTTATCGCCATCTTGAAGAAAGCCTGTGAAGTTAACTTCTGAAAGCTGAACAGCTTACTGAGCATCTAAACACAAATCCAAGTTGGCTATGATAAAACATCTAATAAGCACTGGGTGTATCCCTAAGAACTAAATAATAACGAATGCCTCTTTAAAGAAGACTAAAAACACCGTACGTATATATGCATATGCAGCTTTGGCAACGGCAAGGCCCAGATTTTGCTTTCCATATATTGCCCACTAGTTGTGTAAACCTGGGGAGATTCCTTAAGCTTTTAATCTTTCTGTGCCTGTGTGTCCTCTGTCTAGAAAACAAAAAATAAGACCTATTTTCATATGGACCCCTTATGGGTTAAATGAGGTAATAGAAGGCCAGTGCTTAACATAGTGCCTAGCACCAACCTGTCACTTGTGCATTAAAACTACGTAAGCAACAGTGAGAATATGCAACCACATGCCAATTTAAAAGGCAAGAAGCTCAATCCCAAAATGCAGCTGCTTCAAAACGCTCAAATTTTTACTATTTTCAACATCATTTAAAGAAAAAGAACCCACCTTTCCGCTTCTTTACTTTATTTTCTTTACAAGGACTATCTCTTGGTGAACTATTGTTACTTGGAGCTGTCAAATCAATTCCTAGCAAACTATAAAGTTTTTTCCGGTCTGGAGCAGGGAAGTGTTTTTCAATAAGTGACTGCAACACTCCTCTATTTATACAAGAGAAAAGGTGACAATTAGTGGTTCAGTCTGCAAAACAATTATATATAAAGTCTTACTAAATATATTCTTATGTGGTGCCTGGGTAGTGCAGTCGGTTGAGCATCTAACTCCTGGTTTCGGCTCAAGTCATGATCTCATGGGTTGTGGGATCGAGCCCCCTGCCAGGCTCCATGCTCAGCAGGGAGTCTGCTTGAGGTTCTCTCCCTCTGCCCCTCTCCCTGTGTGTGCTCGCACGCTCTCTCTCTCAATAAATAAAATTTAAAAATATATTCTTTAAAACATATTTCCTAAAATAAATATACCGTTTAATACTACAAAATACTGATAATCCAGCTGAAATAAATTTAATATTCTAGGCAAAGGCTGTTGAATTGAAATATAGTTCAAGCCCAGCCAAATATGTGACGTTTACATTTTCTAGTAATTACATTAAAAAGTGAAAGAAAACTGGAGAAACTTTTTTTTTTTTTAAAGATTTTATTTATTTATTTGAGAGAGAGAGAGAATGAGAGAAAGCATATGAGAGGCGAGAGGGTCAGAGGGAGAAGCAGACTCCCTGCCGAGCAGGGAGCCTGATGCGGGACTCGATCCAGGGACTCCAGGATCATGACCTGAGCTGAAGGTAGTCGCTTAATCAACTGAGCCACCCAGGCGCCCAAAACTTTTTTTTTTTTTTTTTTTAAACATTTTATTTGGGGCGCCTGGGTGGCTCAGTCGTTAAGCGTCTGCCTTCGGCTCAGGTCATGATCCCAGGACCCTGGGATCGAGCCCCACATCAGGTTCCCTGCTCAGCAGGAAGCCTGCTTCTCCCTCTCCTACTCCTCCTGCTTGTGTTCCCTCTCTCACTGTGTCTCTCTCTGTCAAATAAATAAATCTTAAAAAAAAAAAAAAGATTTTATTTATTTGACAGAGAGCCCGACACAGGGCTTTGATCTCAGGACCCTGGGATCACACCCTGAGCTGAAGGCAAACGCTTCACCGACTGAGCCACCCAGGTGCCCTGAACGTTTTTTTAATGATGTATTTCAGGATATAGACTAGTATCATATATCAGTGTATCACTTCAATATGCAATCCGTGAGATGTAAAACATTACTTTAAGTCTTGTATTTTATATTCACAGCATATCTCAATGTTGGACTAGCCACTGATAGGCGCATGTGACTAGTTCCTATCATTTTAAACAATGCAGTAATAGGCACACAAGTATAGAAAAAGACAGATTAGTAGATGCATGTTTTGCTTTAGAAGCAGTTCTGAATTATATCCATCTTAAAAGGAGCCACGTGAATATATCTCTGGACACAAGAGATAGTATAGTGGGGCAAAGATTATTTTGCTAATTTTACTATTAGAGTTAAAATTGGCAGGGTAGGCAAATAAACTGAAAACAATGCCTATATCTTCTTTTTAAAATTCTCATGATTGTCTACAATTTTTATACTACAGATAACTAAACTTAGGGGCAAACTCTACGTATTGCTCCTCTGGATAATGGTAATTTCAAACACACAAGGCTCAAACTGAAACTGAAACTAATCCAAGCTCTCACAGATTTCCAAGATCTACAAGACAAAAATCACACCTTTCCATTAGTCCAAATACTGGGCACAATATGGTCAAAATGCTTAACAATCGAGTACTTCTATGTTACTGTTTTCCAATGGGTATATTGTGATGAACATGAACAGAATGCAAAAACTAAGATCAGAAATGAATCAAAACTTTTGCCTCCAGGAAATACCAACACTTAAACTAATCTAAATAAAAACTCAAAACCAAAAACATTACTTGGCCGTTGAAACAAAATCATTTAATTCTCCTCCACCCTCTTCCAAGGCTTCTAACGTTCTAGCTTCTCCTGTTGATTGCAGACCAATTACAACACACTGGAGAGAAAAATAAAATTATAAATAAAACTATGCATGTGGTTTCTTAGGACCTATTTTAAATATTTAGCTTAAAAAAAAAAAGATTTCAAACAAGAATGACCCATTTTTTTTTTTAAAGATTTTATTTATTTGACAGAGAGAGACACAGCGAGAGAGGGAACACAAGCAGGGGGAGTGGGAGAGGGAGAAGAAGGCTTCCCACTGAGCAGGGAGCTCGATGTGGGGTTCGATCCCAGGGCCCCGTGATCATGACCTGAGCCGAAGGCAGACAATGACAGAGCCACCCAGGCACCCCAAGAATGACTCATTATTGCACATGTGTGCTCATTTATTTATTCTACATATATCTGAGGCATGTTATGTGTAAAAAACCTAGCTAGGAAATAGGATTACAGCAGTGGACATCAATTGAAGTCCCTGCCTCAGTTCTCTGTACTTTAAATAGATATGTGTGTGTGTGTGTGTGTGTGTGTATATATATATATACACACATTGCTAAAAAGAAAAAAACCGTATGGCAATCTATACCCACACATCAGCACTAGCTGCATCTATGGATGGCCAAATTACAGCAATTTACTTCTTTATGTATTTTTTGAGCTACCTAAGTTCTACATAAATAGGCACTGCTTTTATTTTCTTTTAAAAAAAACAGATTTTAAGGGCGCCTGAGTGGCTCAGTTGTTAAGCGTCTGCCTTCAGCTCAGGTCATGGTCCCAGGGTCCTGGGGTCAAGCCCCACATTGGGCTCCCTGCTCAGCAGGGGGTCTGCTTCTCCCTCTCCCACTCCCCCTGCTTGTGTTCCCTCTCTCGCTGTATCTCTCTCTGTCAAATAAATAAATAAATAAAAATCTTAAAAACAAAACAAAACAAAAAAAACAAAAAACCCCATAGATTTTAAAGTCTTACTATGTTAATACTTTAACTCTCTTTCAGAAAGAACAGGCTTTACAAGTAGAAAGCCTGAACACCCAAAAGACTAGGAAATATAACCAAAGAATAAATCTCTCAATGTGTCCAACTTACTTTTCCATTCTTGATTTCTTCTCGAGCTAGTTGCACAACCCTTTTAACTTTGGATGCTATGCACAAGTATTTGAAAAATCTCTGATGCGCAGACCAGAACTGACCCCACATGGATTTCTTCATGCGTTGCTCAGCATCAATCAGATCTGCGGCTTGCTGAAATCTCTCTCTGGCAATGACCCACTGAAGATGCATAATCAACATTTTAGACATTTCATCTATGAGTGTGAATTACTTAAAAATGACTGATTCAAGCAAAATAATGGTAGGTACAAGACTACTTAACATTAATTTAACTACTTAACATTAATTTAACGAACCATATTCAGTAACTTGGGAATCTCTAAACAAATGTTTTTCAGGACACTCATACAGAGTTGCCTCTAAATTCTTATTAGCTACTAGAGTCATTTCAGGGAATAGTTACATTGTACTATTTTTAAATAGTACATTGTAATTTTTAAAATTATGCAACTTAAATAAATGGCTTTTTAAAAAAAGTTTAAGTGATTTTTACACCCAACACGGGGCTCGAAATCACAACTCCAAGGATCAAGAGTCGCATGCCCTCCTGACTCAGCCAGCCACGCACCCCATTACAAATGGCTTTTTTTTTTAAAAGGATTTTATTTATTTATTTTACAGAGAGAGACACAGCGACAGAGGGAACACAAGCAGGAGGGGTGGGAGAGGGAGAAGAAGGCTTCCCACTGAGCAGGGAGCTTGATGTGGGGTTCGATCCCAGAACCCTGGGATCATGACCTGAGCCGAAGGCAGACGCTTAACGACTGAGCCACCCAGGCGCCCCACAAATGGTTTTTTAAAATAAATTACTTTGGGGAGCCTGGGTGGCTCAGTCATTAAGCCAGTTTGCCTTCGGCTCAGGTCATGATCCCAGAGTCCTGGGATCAAGCCCCACATCGTGCTTCTCCCTCTCCCTCTGCCCCTCCCCCACTGCTTGTGTTCCCTCTCACGGTCAAATAAATAAAAAAATCTTTGAAAAAATAAAATAAATTACTTTAACAAAGAGAAAGCTTAGAAAATTAGGAAAATAAGAATCTAGTGCCTTATCTGTTGTGTTACAGCAAAATATACTCTTGTGGGCTGAGAGACATTAAAAATACTAGGAATTAACAAAAAACTTCTCACCAGCTTGACTGCTTTGTTATACATTTTCACATAGCTCTGAGAAAGAAGAACTTCCTCAATTTTGAAGGTCACTCCAGTAAAGCTCAGCTGTCGAGCAATGTACATTCCTCTAAGCTTCATATCCATAGCAACTATTTCCATGGCACCAACACCTCTGAATAAAATTAAAACACACAGTAACTATCATTAAATATAGTAGGGCTTTAATATAAGTGGGAAAGGTTTTAGTGGTAACACCTCTTTTAGACTGCAACCGAGAACAAATAGTGTATACTGTAAATTGCTTTACCTCCGTTCTACTGCTTGGATAAAATCACTGAATTCTCTAAATGGAGTTCCCTCACCCCATATTCCAAGACGGTTCATATAGGCCATGTTTCGTGGTTCAGAAGCACCTGAAAAATCCCAAAACAAAAAATTTTATAGCGGAAAAAATAACCTACACATACCTTTCAAATAAAATAACAACTCACCAGTGGCACTAGCATAAACAACTCTGGCCTTTGGCAATTTGTTCTGAAGCTCTAGAACTGCTAAGCCTGTCTTGGTTGGCTTTGAAGAACCAACAGGACATAAGTTTTTTGCTTTATGACATTCATCAAACACTATCTGTACAGAATGAATTAAGGAACATAACATAGTAGCAAATATCTCTAATCTTTAAGGAAAATTTAACATTTATTTCAAGGCCTTGGGAAACATCCCACATTTCTGGGGTGGTAGACTGGGCTAAATTCAAGACAATCAGGAGGGGAGAGATGCCGCTGATAATAAGCCCCTGAGCATTAACTTTTTAAAATAACACCAACACGGCCATCATCTGGCTTTGTCAAACCTTAACATTTTACCATATTTGCCTCCAACTGTTTTCTTTTTAAGATTACAAACATAAATGAAGCCCTCTATGGGCCTCTCCTTGACATCACCCCCTCCCTCTCAAGTCTGAGAGGCAACCACTGATTTTGGTATTTATATTGACTGGATATTTAATTCTTAATTAGAATGGAAGAATGAATCCACTGTGGCAAGAAATGTCCACCACACAGATAATTTTGGCAAATTCTCTAAGTACAACTGGTGACTAACTTAATCACCATTTGAAAAACATTCTTCATGCATGACAGTAAAAGGTCTGCCATGAGCAAATAGGTTTGGAAATCACGAAGTCCAAAGTTTTTTTCCCCTTAGTCTTCTCAGGTGCTTTACTATGTAATATGCAGTATGAATCCCCAAAAGTGGAATACAGTACTCATCACTTCCCACACCTATTAACATTTTCCTAAACCAGGAGCTTAAATACTGGCCTCTTATATGACAGCTAGAAAACAGACTCCCCCTTGGACACTGGGAAGTCATTAAAGCTCTTATCCCAGCAATTTCAGTTAATTTCAGGATGTAGTTTTAAATGTTTATTCTTACACTCACTTTTGTGTCATTAAAAAATATAAAAACAAAATAAAGAAATAAAAATTAAAAACATTTGTTGTAAAGGATACCACTCCATCGAAGTCGTCACCGCACCAATGCAGAAGTTGTTTTAATCTAGTTTTATATTTACCGCCAGACTGACTTTCACCAATAAGGGAAGAATAGGTAGCAAAAATAACACCCTTTTTCACGCTCCCATTATGTTTGGAAGAAATTTTTCCATATTTAAACTAAAAAAGAAAAAAGAAGAATTTAACATACACGCTTTTCTCTCTGAAAAATCTATCCCACCCAAACTTCTATAGCAGGAAATTGGTGGGTCCATCATGGGCTTTTAGGGAAGTCAAAAGAGCCCCTAAGACCACACACAGAACTTCTACATATGTATACCACACACACACACATGCACGCACCTATGTTTATATATATGCACACAACTTCATGATACAATGATCTAGTTTTCATCAAAGTCTCAAAAAACTTTTTTTAAAAAGATTTTGTTCATTTTATTTGAGAAAGAGCGTGTGCGTGCTTGAGCAGGGGGAAGGGCAGAGGGAGAGGCAGAAGCAGATTCCCCACTGAGCAGGGAGCTCGATGACAGGCTTGAACCCAGAATCCTGGGATCATGACCTGAGCCGAAGGCAGATGCTCAACTGATTGAGCCACCCATGTGCCCCTCAAAAAATTTCTATCAACAAAAAAAAGATTATAAACTAACCCCCCCCAAGAAAAAAAAGTCACAATATTCACTACAAAAATATTTATTGTGCACTTCCTCTATGTCAAGTCACTATAATTAAGTTCTAAGGCATATATAAAGAATTATGATTAATAGTTAATATACCCTTCTTCAATTAAACGGACAAAGAAATCAAAAATATTTCTAGATGCCAGTTACATGTTTTTAGTTTTGAGCTGTGAGGAATCATTCAAGACATAGTACTTTACCTACCAGACCACAGTCATACCCACCCAAAAAAGCCAATGATGAGCAGGGCAACACTGAACCAACCTAGGGCTCACACAGAAAGTAGATTTATATTTACTTATTTTCAAAAGGCTAAGAGAGAGGTACCTGCAGGAAATGAGTCTGCCTATTGTACTACTCCAGCTCTTGGTACATAAGAGGTCAGTAAAGATTTGCCAAATGAACATTAAGATTCCTATCAAACTATGCTTTAGATACTGAGATACATTTTCTTCCACTTGACAGAACTGTTTTAACATGAACAAAGGTACAGATGTAAAACTCCAGTGGATATACAAATATCCAAATCAGTCTCCAAGCCTCAACAATTCCCTATGTGCTGTGACTACCTATCCACACAGCTTTACTACAAACTGCATCCTTATACTCGGTTATGAGTTTCAGCCATATAAGGTTACCTCAGAAACAAAGACAAAAAGAACACCAAAACTGAGAACTCCGTAACAACAGAGACAAGGCCTATTTTGTTTGCCACTATACAACCGTACCTGGCATAGTACTCGATGCATAGTAACCCACAAACCAATAAGAATGGCTAGCACTCACTAATGCTTTCTGTAAAATAATTCACTTAATCCTCACAACAACTCTACAAAGTAGAAACTATTATTCCCATCTCACTGATGAGTCAATATTTACTGAATGACTAACCAAAGAGAAAACTTTCATACCTTGTTTAATGAATGAACCAAAATGTTTTTTGCTCCAATATCCCTCAAATCTCTTTCAGCATCATACTTTAAATCATTTGAAACACTGAACCTGCCACATAAAAAAGAAAAAAAAAAACACAAATTAAATGCAAATTCCATCAGTCTAGCAGTATTGAGGATAAATAAAAACAGGGCTTGACACTTAAAAAAAAAAATACACCTACTCATTAAAACCCATCTCACATGCTGGAATAACTATTCACAAAATAAAGCTTCCACAGTCTTTGGCACTTACCATAATGCTCTTTTTCTACTCAGCAAGTAATTTTCATAGATAATTCCCGCTATCGTCCTTCCTTTTCCCACACCAGCACCATCACCTATTAAGAAGCCAGCACGATCTCCATTAGGTAGGAATGTTTCATGTTGCTGAAAAAGAGAAAGCTGATAATCAATCTACTCCTTTAGATACTGTGGTGATCAGTCTTTACAACACTGTTGTAGGAATATATTAATGTGATCTATCTGTATACAAATGGCACACAGTTTGGCTCAATATGGATACTTTCTTTATATTTACTATGTACTCTTTCTGGCTACACTCACATGCACCAGGTAACTGATGTTACTGAAGTTAAACTGGTGAGCATTCTTCTGTATCTCTTTTAATGCCTGCACAGACAAATACAAACTTTTCATCACACATAAATATGGAGGATGGTTACCTGTTCGGCCATTACTTATTTTACAGAACTGGAGTACAAAAGAAGTCCTCTCAAGAAACTGGCATAACTAATTCATGGTTTTGAAAGCCAGTACAACACCCATATACAATAATACCACAGTTCATTCAAACAGCCACTAGGGTATGGGAGTTTAGATTCTTTCTAGCATTCAGCAAGCAGGGTTAAAAGAGCTAAAACAAATAGTCATCCATCCATCCATCCATCTCCTTAATATATATATTCTTAATCTAATAGTTCTAACGGACAAACTCCCAATAATGGAATTGTTAGGTCAAAGGATATACGTATTTTTTATTTCAAGTAAGCTCTACGATCAATGTGGGGCTAGAACTCATGACCCCAGGATCAAAAGTCATGCTCTATTGACTGAGCCAGCCAGGCACAATAGGCTATATGTATTTTCAACAAATTTATTTATGTATTTATGTATGTATGTATTTATTTATTTAGATTATTAAAAAGTACACCACTGAGGAAGCACATGCATGAGAGCTGGGTGCGGGGATAGGAGAGAGAGAATCTTAAGTAGGCCCCACACCCAGCACGGAGTCTGATGCAAGGATTGATCTCACGACCCTGAGATCATGACCTGAGTGGATCAAAGAGTCTGACACTTAACCAACTGAGCCACCCAGGCACCCCACATTTTTAATACATATCCCCAGTGAATTCCAAAGAGGTTATAACATTTTTCATTTCCAGTAGAAATGAACCCCCTGCATCCATGCTACCCCTTTAATTTTTTAACACACAAGGGGCACCTGGGTGGCTCAGTAGGTTGGGCGTCCAACTCTTGATTTCAGCTCAGGTCATGATCTTGGGGTCATGGGATCAGGCCCTGCCTTGGGCTCCACGCTCAGCACAGAGTCTGCTTATCCCTCTCCCTCTGCTCCTCCCCCTGGCTCACGCACGCTCTCTCTAAAAAAAAAAAATAAATAATTTTCTAACACATGAAACTTTTGTAAAAATCACAAGCACAAGTTTTTCATTCAAGAAAAATTACCTTTGTGTTAAAGCAACTATACTATATGCACTAGGATTAAAAGATAAATACATTGTATGTAGTTACAAAATATTGCTTACCTGGGCTGCATAAGTAATTGCCTCAAGTTGTAATGCTGATAACCAGCCATTATCAATGGTTTCTTCAGAAATGGATGTTTTGTACCAAACATCAGGAGGAGTAACACTGGATAAAGAACTAGTTTCCACTACAGCATCTGGATGACGTAGGCCAATTTTTACTAAATGAAATTTTAAAATACTTCATTTTAGTTTTCTAGGTAATAATGCTCCCAGTTTTATTATATAATATTGCCATATTTTTGCTATCACAGAGCAAATAAAAGTAAATAAGTAACTATACACTCCAGGATATTAAAAAGGCACTGACAGGTGGTAAATTATTATTTAAATTTGGTAAAAGGACCTATTTATCAAATACTTATGGTTTAAATAAGAGACCTGCTGATCAAAAAAAATCTAGAAAAATATCAACTTAGTTCGTATCACCACGTTCTCCAGTAGCAACAAAACATAATCCTAAATTTGGAAATCTATCTGAGGGACGCCTGGGTGGCTCAGTTGGTTAAGCATCTGCCTTCAGCTCAGGTCATGATCCCAGGGTCCTGAAATTGAGTCCCGCATCGGGCTCCTTGCTCAGGGGGGGAGCCTGCTTCTCCCTCTGCCTGCCGCTCGCCCTGCTTGTGCGCTCTCTAGCTCTCTGACAAATAAATTAGAATCTTAAAAAAAAAATCTATTTGAATGCATAAATTAATTAATATTTACAGCTTTGCTGAGCATCTGGTCTATTACTAAACAATGCCATTGTAGCAATGTAAAAGCAGCCATAGCCAATAAATAAATAAACTCACGGGCATGGTTATTTTCCAGTAAAACTTAAAAAGGCAATGGTCCAAATTTAGTTTGCTGACCTTAGTTTAAAGGGCCATAGATAAACTTTCAATTCTTTTATGAAAACTATTATGGGAGTGAGGGAAACCACCCATTTCAGATACCACAACCTAAGATTCATCTTTTAAATGTTTATCGTATGTATATATTATTATTTTTTTTTTTTTAAGATTTTATTTATTTATTTGAGACAGAGAGAATGAGAGACAGAGAGCATGAGAGGGAGGAGGGTCAGAGGAAGAAGCAGACTCCCTGCTGAGCAGGGAGCCCGATGAGGGACTCGATCCCGGGACTCCAGGATCATGACCTGAGCCAAAGGCAGTCGCTTAACCAACTGAGCCACCCAGGCGCCCTGTATATATTATTTTTAAGTAGGCTCCATGTCCAACGTGGGGCTTGAACGCATGACCCTGAGATCAAGAGTTGCATACTCAACCAACTGAGCCAGCCAGGCACCCCCAAAGTTAATTTTAAATGACCAGAAATTATGGGATCCTGAAGTCGATACATAGTTGGTAAACAGAAATTTTGAGTTTAAGTAGTAATATTAGTGGCTTTTTATAGAAACTCGGAGTAAATAAAGGATTCTAGCTATGTATTTGTTTCATCTTATCACCCTCATATAATGAAAAAGTGAACTTTTTACATCAAAGCTAAAATATTAATTTTCAATTTCACATAGTGGCCACTAAAAAAATAAATCATGGTTGTTATGGAAAAAAGGGCAGAAGTGTTAATGTACACCACTGAAATAAATAGCACATTTTATTTTTAAGATTCCCATGTTTTTATGCTTTGTATAAAGTATAGAAAGCTAAGATAGATTTCTATCTCTGCAATTTACTATGATTTTATAATCACTGCTAATATGAGCAAAATTAACTTGAAACAAAATAAAACCCAAGCTTTTTTACTTTTAAAGGACTTCAACCCAAAACAGTTCTAAGTCTGCATAGGGAAAATAACCCACAGTCAAATTTTCATGTAGATATTTTAAAACATATTATAGTTCAAAAACTATTACAAAGCTCTTGTCAAATTCTGAGGTACCCAATATTGACAGATCCTAATAGATAATAACGTGTATGGGAAAGTTACTTAAATTCAAGAAGAACCCAGAAGTCTTTCATTATTTTGACAGATCCCAATGACATACATTTTATAGGCATATACTCTGCATAGGTTTCTGCATGACCCATTTCTTCTTCATCTTCTTCCTCTGGTTCATCTTCCTCTTTCACAACAGGGACCTTCTGTAACACAGAGGGAACATAATCAGAGACTGGAGGCCTAAGTAACACACAGAAAAACTCTTCTGTAGGAATACTAAACAGTCTTCAATCTTGGAAACATGACATACCACTTCTATATTCTCTAAAATCTGGGTCACACTTTGCATCTTCCGTGTTTCTCCAATGAGTACAGATAATCCATGACCTAACTCTCATCCCTAACACACCACTGGGTCACTACAGGGCTCCACCTCCATCCTTCTAACCACCATGATCTCAAACTACTTTCCCCTTCAATATTGCCTACCACCTTCCCTGATGCCCAGAACTCTTTTTAACCTCAGTCTTCAATCTTCATTTCAGTTCCAGGAACAGAAAGACCAAAAGATTTGGGGAGAAAAGGTGGATGAGCCCCAGCAGCTCATCCTACAACCTCAATGGCAGAAACTCTGTTGAAGTTACACATCCCACCCTCACTTCAGTGCACCTTCAATTCAGCTGTCTTCTTTCCATCGGACACTGAAACCAAACCCCAAAAAACTCTGGGTTTAAAGGTTCTTCTGAAGGACAGATAATCTACTTCAGACATCTATGTCTCCAAACAACAACAATCATATGTAAGATAGCCAAGCACTTACTCTCCAAACCTTGGCACACCCAAAAATGCAATGGGAAGTTCTTAGTAACTACACCAGGAAAACAGGAATGAAGCCAGACTGTCTCAAGCAACTTGAGTGAATGGTCACCAGTCAGTCACATCTTCCTTTGTTTCTTCACAGAATCTTAAAGGGGTAAGGTAGGGAGGAATAGGGGAATAGAAAGACCCTGAACTAGCCTCCTCTCACTACAAGTAAAACCATCAGCAAAGCTCTTTATTAATGTGCTTGTTCAAGAAAAATACAGAGAAAAAGCTGTGAAACCCAGTGTATGTAGAAAAGAAGAAGAAAAAGAAGGAGAAACCAGTCAGGACCTATAAGCAATGCCAAGGACAACAAAGCCTTAAAAGGTAATGGCAGACTTTTTGATTTTTTTTCTTTAGAGTATGATAGCTCACTAAAAGTGGGAGATGTAGATAAACATCCAATCAACATCAATCCATGGAATCCTCAGGAAAAAACCCAAAACAGACCTGAATGCTCTCAGATTTCTGTTTGCCAAAATGAAACTCAATTTCAGAAACTACACAAAGTGGGGATGGCCAAAGAAACAGATGTAAATCCCTATTCTACTGTTATTTGTGTGGCCGTAAGCAAATCACTTAAATTCTGAGTCCTCCCCATCCCCACCTTCACCCCTTTCCCCACCTACCAAATAATGCATACTAAATGACCAGCCTTCCTTCTCTAGCTTATCTTCCCATATCTGAATTAAAAAAAAAAAAAATTACCAAGAGTATAATTGGAAGATAAGTTGGTGATACTGTCTGGCCACAGGGACCAGACAAGTAAACTGATAAGCCAGTAAAATGGCAACTGAGGGTCACCAAGCTTAGGGGCAAGGAGATACAATCATGAGGGGGAGTGGGGAAAGATTGTGGTACCTGGAGAAGGAAGGCCTGCCCAACACACAAAACAGGTGTTCACTACTCAACTTCAGGAGTATTTTACTAGGTGGGGAATGTGGACCCAGGGTTGTCAGGTACTCCTATTTTTCAGGATAACCTGGAGATCAGGACCTTTATGTTGTATCAACAAATTAAAAAATTTTCAAAATATTGTGGAGACCAAACATAACACATCTGTCAACTGGCTTTGGTGCATAGTCTACCAGTTTGTAATCTCTGCTAGATGTTTTTCTTTTTTTCTTTTTCTTTAAAGTAAGGTCTATTCCCAACGTGGGGCCCAAACTTAAGACTTCAAGATCAAGAGTCACATGCTCCACCGACTAAGCCAGCCAGATGCCCCTGTTAAATGTTTCTTAACTCTGACAACATATAATTTTTGGCGTATTATGGGCAAAAGTGGGCTGGACTGGGAATCTCAGCACTATGTACATTTCTTAAAGGAAAATGCAGTCTTTTTTTTTTTTTTTAATTTTTTTTTTTTTAAAGATTTTATTTATTTCATAGAGAGAGACACAGCAAGAGAGGGAACACAAGCAGGAGGAGTGGGAGAGGGAGAAGCAGGCTTCCCACTGAGTGGGGAGCCTGAAGCAGGGCTCGATCCCAGGACCCTGGGATCATGACCTGAGCCGAAGGCAGACGCTTAACCGACTGAGCCACCCAGGCACCCCGCAATCTTACTTTCTAAAAATCAACTTCCACTTAAGTTGCTGGCACACAACCATTAAATAAACTGGGTCCTGCCAGCATTCATTCTCCTGGTCCCTGTTCAAAACCTCAGGCAGATTGCTGTCTTTCCAATTCCATATTCCATCCCCAAGTCCTAAAAATCCTTTGGTATTGTTATATGCAGTCATCTCCTATTATCCTTTTTTTACTTTCCCCTAACCCTTTTCCAATCCTCTTTACAATCCCCCAAGTTTAGTCTCTTAACACCTCCCTTCTGGAGTACTTAACCAACCTTCCAACCTGCCTGTCTTCCCCACCTGACTCACCCTGAATCACTAACAGGATCCTCCACTTCCAGGGGCCCCCACTGGTGCTGCACCAAGTCCAAAGTCACTGTTTTTTTTTTTAAGATCTATTTATTCATTTGAGAGAGAGCGTACGTACGTATGCGAGCGGGAAGGGTGGGGGAGCAGAGGGAAAGAATCTCAAGCAGACTCACCACCGAGCACAGAGCCCAGATCTCACAACCCCGAGATCATGACCTAAGCAGAAACCAAGAGTCAGACACCTAACCAACTGAGCCACCCAGGTGCCCAAAGTCTTTGGAACTCAACTCAGGACCCTCCACAGTGCCAAAATCAACCATTCCAACTTCCAACTTCCTCCTGGCTTACCACCATCTAAACATATAGCCACCACCTCCTCTGTGCCTATCAATGCTTTAGCTCCCTTCCTAAAATGCCCTCTTACAGTCTCTCCAAACTCAATACCTAATCTCCATTATACTTGCTCCACAAAATGAAGTCTTCCCAGGCCATCTGAGTCCAGGGAGATTTCCTCTTCCTCCAATTTCATAATCCTAATTGTGAGTATCTCAATGTACTTTCTGCTGTACTTTATACTACTTAAACCATGTGCTTGTCAAATTGTGTGATTATGGAAGGGGGAGCCATGTAGTCTACCTCTTGTACAAACCCATCACATACATGCAGTATTATACACAGCACAGTTATGAAATAAATGTAGAGTTAATTAACCCAAGGCATTTCCAAAATTTAAAGAAAAAAAATTACTTATAACTAGAATATTGTATGATCTGACAGCTCATAACTAGCTATATATTTAGGTTCAATCCCCAAATGGACAGTTATCAAATACTGTAGTTAACTCCACATTATCTTTGTCTCTGATCAGGTAAGATTCACAATAAAAGGATGTCAGTACTGCGTGTAATACTAAACCCTATCAAATATACAAGCTATAATAACCTTGTTTAGTATGTCCGTTTATGTTAGATATTTAATGCTTATTCATTAGTTCATGTAGTTGAGTAGCCCCCCCTCACCCAAAAATAAGTTTTCTGTGGGTCGTTTTAGAGCACTTTTAGCCAAGTATATTTCTACACCACGTAATACAGATGCAGCTTTTGAAACTCACCATGGTTGGAGAAAAACTCCTCATTTTCATGTCGTTTATCCATATTCTTGCTACTTCTTTATTAGAAGATTCTTTCTTTACTGTACCATTGCTTACATCAGCTGAGGGGAAGAGTTATTAGATTTTAGAACAAAATCTCAATTTATTTTCAGTAAAAGTTTTACTAAAAAATTTTTTACATTCAGGTTTAAAAAAAAATGTTAAATCTAAGGAGTAAGTTTACTGAATTCACAAACCAAAGAATACCAACCTACTTGTCACTAACTTAAAGCAAGCATAAGAATGAAAACATTCAAAGCTATGTGTTATCACGGAGCTAAGATTTAACCTTAGAAAACAAGTAACTTAAACAGAAATGTGTGTATAGGAAACCTGAGACCTAGTTATGAAAAGGACATCTTAACCAGAAGTGTTTGATAGTTTATTTTAATACACATACCAACAGCAAGCATTACTTTGGGACACTTCACTTGGTTCACCAAAAACAAATAAACCAGAATGGTGTTATTACCAAGACAGAATTAATCTCATCTGAGTTGGTGATACTTATTTTCGAGGCAAATAATTATTTCTTGGAAGAAAAAAAATTGGGGGAACTCTATTTTCCTCCTCCCCTTAGAATAAAGATCCAAACAATGAATCTTTTCTTCTTCTATACCAGTGGTTTACAAACTCTATTCAGATACAGCAAGAGAATCCCTCAATCCAAGTATCAGGCCAAGTAGAACTGCTTGACTGAGTGAGTAGCCTAGAGCCCCTGTAATCAGCCCGCATCCCTGAAGCACTCTTCAGGTACTTGGGATTTCTGAGATCAGTGTGAAAATCACACCAGAATAATTGATTAACATCTTATCTATTCTACCAAAAGACAGGGAGTATATGGGAGACTGTCACTTGGGAATCCAAAATGACAACTGAAGTGTTAACAAAACAAACAGAATGGAACAGAGATAACAAATTTATGTGTTTAATGTAACTGTGGGAGAGCAAGTGAACAGTTTGCAGAGTACAGAACTGGACCTTACGTGAGAGCTCAGAACCCAAACAGAGAGCCAAAGGGCTCAAGGCTCCGGAAGGGGCAACACCCACAGATAAGTGTAAGGGAACATGCAAAACCTTGCTCTTTGCAGTTTCATACTTTTAATGTTCTTCCCTTCCAGTAAAAAGATGACCCTCTGCTACAACACAAAAGTATGCTCATCTTTGGCATTCACTTACATGTTTCTTTTTCAGCCCTGGCCTAGTCTGATAGTTTCTCAGGCTTCCACACAAGGATGGCCTTGACTTGTAATCTTTTGTCTTTTCAAAATTACTCCACTGGATGTGGGAGATGTTACTGTACTAAGCATTACTCAATTAGCTCCAAACCTATCCTGTTTTGTTTTACTTTCTAAACTTCCCTCACAATAGCACAGTCTTCTTTAAATTATGAGAACATGTGCTGATTTGAGGAGTGGAATACTCAGGAAGCCACTCACATAAAAGCAGCAGGATTTCTCCTCAAACTCAAAGGCTTTAATGACAGCTGCTTCCACTAACTGCTGATCATCCATGTCTCACAGGAGTCATTCCAGATGCTGCCCTACACCCCAGCTAGGTCAGGGCCATGCCTGCTCTCCATGGTGGAGCAGAGTAAAAATGAGCCCTAAGACAGTTAAAATGACTTCTTAATGGGCACGTAGTTAGCAGGTTGCAGTTAGTTCAGGACAATGACTTTGAGAGTAAACTATAGCCATAAGGACACAATGGTATGGACTCAAACAAAAGATTAGATTATTTGATATTTTTAATTACATCTGTCACTAAAGACAAAATTAGTTCTGTATCACCCTACAAACTCTTCTTGGCCATTGTTTTAGAATGTTCCAGCCCTCTACTTCACAAACACAAGCACAATTTCCAAGCAGTCCATTCTGCCACAAAATTATATACTAGTCTATATCAGGTATTAAAACTTTTCTCCCAATATTAGAAAAATAAGGCAGCTTTTGGAAAAGGAACTATTTAATACTTATCAGCTCATTCCAAACCCTAATAAAATGCTATTTATGCACTAGTATAAATCCTCAGGAACCTCCAAGCCCAAAGAAATTTACAAAAAAAAAAAAAAAAGGCACCCATTCCTACGCTAAAACTATAAAATAGTAGTCAGCTCAGAATATAACTGAGGTCAGTTATCATTTCCAACTGTGCCACCCTGGTACTGTTACATAACAGGTACTCAAATACACTTCAGCTGAATGTAGAAGGGAAAGGAAGAATATCCCTCTTAAGAGTTCACGTTTTTCAGTTTTTAAAACTGTACTACTAAAATTTGATGTAGTCAAGATTTTAAAATACATCTAATAATTCTATTTTTTTTTTAAAGATTTTATTTATTTGACAGAGAGAGACACAGCGAGAGAGGGAACACAAGCAGGGGGAGTGGGAGAGGGAGAAGCAGGCCTCCTGCGGAGTAGGGAGCCCAATGCGGGGCTTGATCCCAGGACCCTGGGATCATGACCTGTAACGACTGAGCCACCCAGGCGCCCCTAATGATTCTATTTTATCCTTAAAAATTACCTTACTAAACATGAAGCTTCCTCTGAACACTGCACTTAAAACTATAACCTCTTTCTGCCCCACACCTCATTTTGTTTCTCTCCACAGGGCTTATTCCTTTCAGACACACTATATAACTTCTTTATTTTGTTTATTGTCTCTCTCCACTAGAATGCAAGCTCCATGACAGCAGAAATCTCAACAGTTTTCTTCCCAGCCACACCCTCAAAATCCCAGAACAGTGCTTGGCACATAATAGGCACTCAATAAATATTTGTTGAATAAATGAACAGTAACATTCTAAAGAAAAACTAACAATAAAATCTATATTCATTATCCATAAATAAACTCTTTAAAAAATGTAATCAAACCACTGTTGAACTTTTCCCCTTTAAACCCTATCCTTAAAAATAAGTAAATAAATAAATAAACCCTATCCTTAGGGGTGCCTGGGTGGCTCAGTCGTTAAGCGTCTGCCTTCGGCTCAGGTCATGGTCCCAGGGTCCTGGGATCGAGCCCTACATTAGGCTCCCTGCTTGGCAGGAAGCCTGCCTCTCCCTCTCCCGCTCCCCCTGCTTGTGTTCCCTCTCTCGCTCTCTCTTTCTCTGTCAAATACATAAATAAAATCTTAAAAAATTAAATAAATAAACCCTATCCTTAAAGGATTAGCTCGTGGTGATGGTTGAACAACTCTTGTGAATATACTAAAATCCACTCAACTGTGTACTTTAAAAGGATGAATTTCATGGTATATACAATGTATCTCAATAAAGCTGTTTTTTAAAAAAGGATTATATGGGTGCTCATTCTTTAAAATATATATATATAGTATGGGGCGCCTGGATGGCTCAGTTGGTTAAGTGTCTGACTTTGGCTTAGGTCGTGATCTCGGGGTCCTGGGAGCAAGTCCCCCCCCCCAAATGCTCTCTAACAGATAGATAAAACCTTTTTTCAAAAAATGAATTATTTTACAATAAAAATGTATGTATCTTACTTTGTTTAAAAAAAATTTTTATTTATTTGAGAGAGTGTGCGTGCGAGCAGGGGGAGGGGCAAAGAGGGAGGGAGAGGGACAAGCCGACTGCACTGAGGCAGATGCCAGGCTCAATCCCAGGACCCTGAGATCATGACCTAAGCCAAAATCAAGAGTCAGATGCTCAACCAAGGCACCCCAAAAATGTATTTTAAAAGAGAATTTACTAAATACACAACTACTCACAAGCAATAAAGACAATGACAGGCAAAATAATAAAACTGTAAAAGTCAGAGTTAAAGCGTAAAGTATCAGTTTAAAGCTAGTTACCTCACGCATGGTCCACGGACCACCAGCAATAGCACCTCTGAAAAGCTTGTTAGAAATGCAGGATCTTGGGCCCTACCCCAGACCTACCAAATCTGATTCTGTTTTTGAACAAGATCTCCAGGTGATTCAGAGGCACTTTTCAAGTTTGAGAAGTACTGATTTAAAGGACTGAGAAAATGTTAACCAGTTATTCCCAATATATAAAACTGAGATCTCATGGTGTTAACTAATGTAGCCACCTGGTAATTCCACACTTCATTTCAAGGTAAATGCTACTAGGGCTTCTAAATTTCTCCTTCCTTTGAATTGTATAAATACTGTAATTGTGCAAAGTCATAAAATATGTTCTTCACACCCAGTTCGTTTAAGACCCAAGGAAACCCTTAAAAACACACTGACACATCTTACCAACAGGAGCCAGCTGACACTACTGAAAAGACAGACTTACTAGCTGCTGTTGCAACTGGCTGAGCAATATTAGCTGGTGGCTTCAGTTTCATGAGTTCATTCAGACTATTATTTTTCAGCAGATCCTTCAGCTGAACCTGGTCTTTTGAGGGTGCAGAGGTCATGGCATTTCGTACTGCTGGTGCTGAGACTGAAGGGCGTGTGTTTGCAGTAGTCTGGATAAACTTTGTTAAAGTGATGGTCTGCCTATTTGTTGTTACAGGCGGTGTTTTAGTCATTACAATTGTTGATCCCAGGGTTGGAAGCTGATTTATTTGATTCAGCACAAATGTTGTAGTAGATGGAGGCTGCTGCTATAAAAGAAAACCGTTATACATCAGACCACTGAGAAGTACTGAACTCTCTAATGTGGCTTAGATTCACCAACATGGGAGGCCATTTAAACATCTAAAACTGACTTTAATTCTTACCTAAACACTGGCACTGTTATTTTTAATTGAATATGCCTAACTATAAACTACCAAGTTAAAACACATGACTTTGAGGGGAAAAAAGGTACAGTAAGAGTGTGACATTTTCTACAATTGTAGGGGGCAGCAAACATAAAATGGAACTATCCTAACTAAGCTGTGATGTGTGATAATACTATATAATACAAGGACTAGGAACAGAAAGAATTTCTAATCCCAGCACTGCCCCAACTAGGTCGATAACTTTAGGCAGATCACTTCACCCCCAGAGGCCCGGGCTCTCTGGGATCCATTTTCCATTGCTAGCATTCTACAATTCTTGTCCAATGCTTTGTTTGCTATCATACAAACTATACCAATGTTTAGAATTTAAAAGATAAAACCACCAAGCAGAGTTTTAAATACCTATGCTGCATGAATGATCCAGTCAATCCACCAATATCACATACTGGTGATAATATGGGTACTACCTTTGAGCCTAAGACAAAGCTACATAGCATTTTATTTTCTATAGTTGGGGGTAGAGGGGGACATTAGGAGTTGGACAAAAATGCAGTACAAAAAGGTCAAAGATTGGGAGGATGACAATGTGTCGGTGACTACAATGGACTGAAGTACAATCAAGATATTTTTAAATTTCAGTCTATTTCTACTTCCTTCCCTCCTCAAACTATTTGTTATTTTTCCATGACTCCTATAACAAGAATCTTAAGAGATTACCACTCATCACTTTTTTATTTTTTAAAACAGGCAGCTTTGGGGTGCCTGGCTGGCTCAATCGTAGAGCATGCAACTTCTTAATCTAGGCGTCGTGAGTTTGAGCCCCACATTGGGCATGGAGTCAACTTTAAATAAATAAGTAAAGCAGGCAGCTTTTATATATATATGTATGTATATATATATAATTTATTTAAATAATTTAAATAATCTCAACACTCAACGTGGGGCTCAAACTCACAAACCCGAGATCAGGAGTCACATGCTCCACCAACTGAGCCAGCTAGGCATCCCACCACTTATCACTTTTAAATAAAACTCTTGACAATAATTTATCATAAGTTATCAAATTTTTAACCAGTTTCTAATAATTTCATATGCTAGGCTTAAGTTAATAATTGCTACGTTTAAGGTAAAATCAGAGGAACTCTATATTTAAAGCACAATTACCATTACATAAAAATCACATATACCAATGGACAAAAGCTGAAATCAACAAGGAAAAATGAAATGTGTAGTGGAATAATGTGTAACTCATCTTTACTTCATGAATTTTGTATCATTTACAATAAGTAAATTCAAAACACTCTGTTTTGTCCTAATTATCTTTTGATCAACATAACTACAAGAAGAATGAAAGAAATGTTTTATCAAATAGGAGCTGAGAGTAGCATATCGGAAAGTAGCAAAAAACAGAACTGGTAAGATAAAATGACTTCATATTACAGGTTATTTTCTTACTATAATTCAAAGCCATTTTAGCAGTCATGCCAAATGTAAATCATTCTTACCCTAACATTTAGTAGCGCTGGAGTAGGTACCGTCTCTGGCTCTGGTTTCACAGGAACTGCTGCTTCAGTCTCCAAACCTAGTTCTAATGCACTAAGTGGCATGGACTAGAGAGAAAACAACATCAGAGAAAAATAAAAAATAATGGCAGTGAATTCTGTTTCAAGAATAAAAGATTATTAAAACAAAAAAAAAAAAGTCAAGTTTTAGACTCAAACACATTGTAAAATCTCTGATACCAGGTAGGAACTAATAATCTTTGGAAGTACATCTTCACAAAACTATACTGACAACAGAATCTTATTTTTACTTTCAGAGAATGTACATAGTGAAACCTCAGAAGAGGGTCCCTATAAAGTACAAAGACAACTAGTAAAGAGATTAACCAACCTCCCACAAGAGCTCTAAGCAATTCATCTCTTACTTTTATATATATATCAAAGCGGGAAATGTCTTCTCACTGCAAATATTTTCCATCTCATGAGTGAAGACTAATATAAAAATAACACACATGTGCTTATTTAAAATTATGTCTCAATAATGCCTGTCTCTATAAGTAGAAATTAAAATTAAGAAACAATCTACTTTTTACAGAGGCTTCGGGAAACTCTTACCTGCTGAACTGAAGGAGTAGGTGTTGGAGTTGCAAGCCCCGCATCTCCCCCATCAATATCAAAGAGGTCATTCGGACTAATTCCACTCTCACTCAAAGCAGCAAGCAGTAAATCTTGCCCTGGCTCCACCATCTTTAGAACAAAATATTTAATATTAACATAAAAAACTTAAAATGCCAATTAACTCCCTTCTAAATACAAACCAACATCTTCTACCAAATCCATCCATTTGATATTTATGAAGAATCTGCTACATATCAGGCAAGAAGGATGAAAGAGAAATAGTCTCTGATTCCAAGAAATTCACAGTAAGATGAAAAGGACAGAGAAATATGTAAATCACAGCAAGAGTGTATGTGTACAAAATGCTGTGGGAACAGAGAAGGAATGCTCAACTTTGCCCGGGGAGAGAGGTTACAAAGATGACCGTGGAACTGAGTCTCAAGGAAGAAATCACCAGGTGGATAAGGATCTTCTGAACAGCGCATTCACACTTACGGAGATATGAAAGACACTGGCGCTCTTTAAGAACATTGGTTAGAGTAATTCATCATTGGTATGGAAGTTCAGAACAGAAATCCAAGCCTCACGCAGGTGACGACAAGAGATGAGGAAGGTATCACCCACGACCTTGTATACCATGCTAGAGTGTTCAGTTAATCCCATGGGTAGTGGGGGTCAGAAAAGAGTTTTAGATAGAGAACTGCATGACATAGTCAGATTTGTGACTTAGATTATTCCAAGAAGTATGGAAGCAAACTGAGAATGGGTAGAATAAGACTAGAAGGAGGGAGACATTTTAGGTAACTGCTACAGCATACCGAGAGAGAGATGATGTGGGGCGCTTGGGTGGCTCAGTCAGTTAAGGGTCTGCCTTTGGCTCAGGTCATGATCCCAGGGTTCTGGGATAGAGCCCAGCATCAGGTTCCCTGCTCGGCGGGAGGCCTGCTTCTCCCTCTGCCCCACCCTCTTCCCCTGCTCCTGCACGTTCTCTAATAAATAAAACCCTAAAAAAACAACAAAGAAAGAGATGATGTGCTATAATAGCAGGGTGTAGAAAAAAGGGGGGATGAATTTCATCAGGAAGGACAATCCATAACACTAAGTTTATATAAAAGCTAAAATGGAAGAGAATAAGAAAGACAAAAAGCATGAGTTGATGGATGATTAGATTTAAGCCAAGAGAAAGTGAAAAAATAAACACTGAGCCTGGAGACCCCAAAATGAGTTATATAGAGTTTAGCGAGAGAAAATACCTATTTAGGAACAAGCAAATATTTTATTTAAAGATTTTGTTTATTTATTTATGGGGGCGGGCAGAAGGAGAGAATCTCAAGCAGACTGTGCTGAGTGTGAAGCCTGAAGTGGGGCTCAATCCCACAACCCCGAGATCATGACCTGAGCTGAAACCAAGAGTTAGACGCTCAACTGAATGAGCCACCCAGGCGCCCCGCAAATACATTTTAGATTTGGGTTTTCTTGATACAATATGTCAAAGTAATTTACCACCAAAATGGATTTTTATCCATTTTGTAAGGGGAAAAAAAGCTTAACAGAACTTTCTTGATTTTTAACGTTTGTCATTAACTTATCTGAAATAACCAATTTATATACATAAACATGAAAAGTGACTGTACTTGTTTTTCCCAAAAAACTAATTTCATGTTACATAAATAATACACTAATCTTTAGCTAGTTCATTTGTTCTCAGGCTGTGTGAAAGAATTAAGTGTCACTGTTTTCATTCTGTCCTACAAAAAGAAAGGCATTAGTCTCTTTGACCATGACTTCCAACATATAAGAACTAGTATTTCAAATGAAAGTATGATATTTAACAGAGAAATCCTCTACTAGGTAGGTCTTTGTTACATAAGCCTATACATCATTTAGAAAGAAGTTCTAGCAGAAACATGAATGAGTTTAAGGTAGAAACCACAGATATCCAGAAATGAAACTCAGGGCAGACCTACTGTTTAAAGGGGGGTCTTTTTTTTTTTTTTTTAAAGATTTTATTTATTTATTTGACAGAGAGACACAGCGAGAGAGGGAACACAAGCAAGGGGAGTGGGAGAGGGAGAAGCAGGCTTCCCGCCGAGCAGGGAGTCCGATGTGGGGCTCGATCCCAGGACCCTGGGATCATGACCTGAGCCGAAGGCAGACGCTTAACGACTGAGCCACCCAGGCGCCCCTAAAGGGGGGTCTTAAACAGATAGCCCCAAGGAAGAAGAAATAGATTTCCCCAGAATTTTTCAGAAAAAGGAAAAGTCTATGGAAAAATACGTTTTGAGCAGGAAAGAGGAAGGTAAGGAAACTGACAGTGACTAAGTATCTTTTACAAGCCTGACACAGTGTTAGGCTCTTTGTGTACACTATGAGACCACAACAACCCCGAAAAAGATAGACATTATAATTTTTTAGAGATGAAACAGAGGCTCAGAAACCTTAAAGTACCTATACCTACCCAGACCTAGATTGTCCAAATTCCCAAACCCCACGCATTCTCTTTCCAAAGAATAGATCCAGAAGTCAATGTTGCAAACCTAAGTTTCAATACTTAACTTTGGAATAAATGCCAGTCTGAGATTAAAATCGGAACGGAGATAGATTATTGGATAGCAAGATGGAAACAGTATGAAGGGACTGAACAGGGGACAAACAGGAGAAATGTCCCAATATTGATTTAAAATAAAGTTGATCATTTTTCTAATATAGACACACCTGACCATACTTTACACGTTATCCTAGTACATAGTACAAACATGTACCAAGACAGCTAAACCAATGCTTTAAAAACATTTTAACCTGGGCACCTGGGTGGCTCAGTCAGTTAAGTGTCCAATTCTTGATTTCGGCTCAGGTCATGATCCCAGGGTCGTGAGATTGAGCCCTGTGCCGGGCTCCCTGCTCACTGGGGAGTCTGCTTGAGATTCTCTCTCCCTCTGCCCCTCCCCGCCAACATGTGTGCGCACTCTCACTCTCTCAAAAAAAATAAAATAAAATAAATCCTAAAACAGCAACAACAAAACATTTCAACCTACATTAAGACCAATGATCTGTGAGAAAAGGGGGTGGTTGTGGCCTGCTTGCTATGGCTAATCCTGACCTAGATTAATAGAACTCCAGAGACTATCAAAATGTCATCTTTTTTAAGTAAATACTGAAAATAATGATTTATTTACATTTGAAACAAAAATACATTGTTTTAAACCAATGACTCCTAAACAACAGACCAAAGAACACTTGGAAGCCAAAGGATCCATTAATCCATTAGATGCACACCAAGCCGTCTAATTATACTAAAAAAGTACAGAAACATCATTGATGAAAGCAAACAAAAATCAGAGAAGCATTACTAAATTCATGAGAGGTTTTTGAATATATTTTCTGAACAATGAGCATTGAAAGTATAAAAATATCATGGGAAAAATTTTGGGGGAAACTTGGTATTTTCAGAAGAAATTAACAGTACAGTTTATAACACTATCTTTTTCTTTTTTAAAGATTTTATTTATTTATTTGAGAGAGAGAGAAATAGCAAGAGCCGGAACACAAGCAGGGGGAGTGGGAGAGGGAGAAGCAGGCTTCCCACCGAGCAGGGAGCCCGATGCGGGGCTCGATCCCAGGACCCTGGGACCATGACCTGAGCCGAAGGCAGACGCTTAACGACTGAGCCACCCAGGCGCCCCCAGTTTATAACACTATCACTGACCTACTGAAAACTCATTCACAGGAATCACAATTTGAGACCTCTGAGTAGTGACTTAATAATAACAATGTCTTTTATAAGCTATTTTTTAAAAATATTTTATTTATTTCAGAGAGAGAGAGAGAGCACACGCAAGCGCATGAGTGAGGGGTAGAGGGAGAGGGATAAGCAGACTCTCCGCTGAGCAGGGAGCCCGATGCAGGACCTGATCCCAGGACCCTGAGATCATGACCTGAGCCAAAGGCAGATGTGTAATCAACTGAACCAGCCAGGTGCCCTTTTCCAAGCAATTAATGAAAAATATCTTAGGTTTATATACATAATATACACAAACAAAATCTAGGGATGCTTTCTTAGCCAATTGGGTACAAATTCTCTACTTGAACTTTTCTGCAGTGAGAAAGGGAGCAGGGAATACAGAGGAATATCTCTAATTTTCTCTAACTCCATTAGGCAAAACCCTTAATATTTAAAAAAAAAAAAACCCTTAATATTTAATCATTCTCCTATTCTGAAACTATTACAGACTCACAGAATTTCAGTCTTCAGGCAGAGAGCCCTTAAAAGGTTATATTATTCAATCTTCTCCTCACCTTATAAGTAAGATTTATTCTTGAGAAGGAAAACATTTTCACTTTGAACCTACTAAATAGAATATAAATGCAAATACTGTTAAATGTAAGAGAACTGTGTTACAGTGTCTACAAAGGATTTCATAGACCTTAGGTGACATTTAACATGTAGCAATCCAACAAACCCAAAAGTTACCAACCCCAGAGTGATTCTATCTAAAAAAATGGACAACAAAAAAGTTCCATTTCTATCATAAATACTTAGGAAAATACCACCTATTTCAAAATAGTACACCTATGAAAGCGTCTAGTAAGATAAATAAGAAACAAGGACAAGGTAGTAGAGAGAAACTAAGCCATCCTTGGCAGGAAGAGAATCCTGAGAAACAATAGCCAATCAGAAGAATGAAAGGATACAGTTCCCACTGAGAATACCAACACTGAAACCTATCAACCAGGACAAGGTTCCTCTTGTTGAGACCTAAAGCAGATCTTTATAGCTCTGGGCAGATACAAGGGATCTATCTGCAGCAGTGAAAGCACACCACAGAGGCTGGGGTAGACTATGAAATCAAACAGAATATCTGGGTTCAAACACTGGCTACCTCATGCACCAGTAATAGAATATGGTCAAGTAATAACTATTTGACTCAGTTTCCTCATCTTCAAATGGGAATAATAATAGAACCTATCTTATAGGATTGCTGTTGAATAAATGTTATGCTACTGGCTATTAACTACTATTTTGATATTAGTATCATGTCAAAAAATAGGTTTTCTCCTACATCACTGATACAACACTATTTCCCAGAATACCAACTCTGTTGGCAATCCACTCAATAATTAACTTCCAAATGAATTCTTTAAAATACACTAGTTCCTTTTTGCCTGTGTCACATATTCAATTTGTGCAGTTAATCAATTGGTATGTCTAGAGAAAACTGGTAGACCTCTTTATATGTGCAAAGATATCACTTAGCAAGTATCTTTGCCTAATAATAAACAGGACTTTTTCTCTTTATTTAATAGCACTATGTCTTTTAACTCAGCTTCAGCTTTGCTTTTACACAGCCCAGAGGAGATGACTGACATTTAGTTTAAGAATCTGGAAGGATAATGATCCTCTCAAAATTTAGCTGATCCAGTTCATGAACAAGGTATTTATTTAGTGTCTACTGAGTGCTGGTTCTTTAAGAACATCAGGAGAAAAAGAATATGAAGTTCATTAACAAGGATTTTCATTACCTACAAGGGAAAAATCTGTAGTTTTTAACAGCTATTTTTCAAGGGAACACTTGCTCAGTAAAGTGTGCCTCTCCCCACTCTCACTGAGAAACTTTTTATAGGAAGAATGGATTCACAAAGTAACATGCAGATAATAAAGTTTCAAACATGCTTTACCAAAAAAGCACATGAAAGAAATGGGGTGTGTGTGTGTGAAACAACTTTCTTGGTTACCACCATCATCCAGATCCCTAGTCGTTTTGAGATTTACTATAGGATTGGATTTTTTCTCTTTTAACCCTCAAGATAACCCATGAGTAAATACTACATGTTATCCCTTTGTCATAGATGAAAAACTGAGGCTTAGAGAAATGAATTGTAACAAGGTAACGAAACAAGTGTGGAGCAGAATTAGATACCCAGGAGCTCTGACCCCATATCCCTCCAAAATTCTGTATTCTTAAACCTGTACCACATTTTTCAAACTGGTGGTCACACCACAGTGAGCTGTCAAGTCAAATTCAGTGTATCATGACCAGAATTTTTAAATATTTCAATACAGAACAAAAAACTAACACAGCATGTAGAGAGAATAAACATCATTTCATGACATGAGTTTTTCAGTTCTATGTGTGGATATGTAGTAGGTCACAATGTGAAACACATCTTAACCATGGGATGCAGTAAAAGGGTTTTAAAATCATTGTTCTGTGCTATATACTGCCTCCCAAGAATTAAATAAGCAAGTGAATTTGATGGGTTTTGTACTGTATTTTATTCATAAAACCGGAGTTCCTGCTCTTCAAGAGCCTATCCTTTCCATCTATAGAAAATTTCAGTGGTATTCCAAGATTATCCTTAATATTTACCAAGTTCAACCATATTAAAGTATATCTGTCAGCATAAACAAAGACATTTGTAAAAACTTTAAGATTGCACCATTTTATTAATTAGCTATATAATGTGAAAACAATTCCTCTCATCAGAAAGTATGCTTTTAAAAGATTTTTAATTATTTATTTTTTTAAAGATTTTATTTATTTGGCAGAGAGAGAGAGTGCACGAGCACACAAGCAGGGAAAGTGGCACGCAGAGGGAGAGGGAGAAGCAGGCTCCCCACTGAGCAGGGAGCCCGACGTGGGACTCGATCCCAGGACCCTGGGACCATGACCTGAGCCGAAGGCAGATGCTTAACTGACTGAGCCACCCAGGTGCCCCTAAAGATTTTTTATTTGAGAGGGAGAGAGAGCAAGCGATAGCACAAGAGCAGGGAGGAGGAGAAGCAGACTCCCCGCTGAGCAGGGAGCCTGAAGTGGGGCTTGATCCCAGGACCCTGGGATCATGACCTGAGCCAAAGGCAGACGCTTAATGGACTGAGCCACCCAGGCGCCTCCAGAAAGTATCTTTACATCAACTTTAGGCAAGCAAAGCATGGGAACTAAGAGACTCATGAAGTCAGGTTACTTGGTAAGACCAGACCTCAGATCTGACTGTTCACCACCTTCACAGGAGGCAAGTCTCAAGTCAAAGCTCAATTTAAAAATTTAAGAAACACTGAAATGTATCTGTAGCTTTAATCTTTACGATGAATCACTTAAAGGAATCTTTATACTTTATACGTTTATATTGCATTATATTAAGCAGTACATAATTTCAGCAAAGCCCTTAAGTAAAACTGCCTGACACTTAAGAACATCCAATGAATGAATGAACGTAAGCCACCACTGTAAGCCACCAACTAAGCCTTCCTTTTTAATACTTACCCGGCAGCTAAAGTAAAATCTACTTAAAATTCTACAATTGTGTGAAATTAAGTTAGATGGGGAGACAAAATTGCAGAAGCCAAAGGAAAAAAATAAAGATGTTCTTTCTGGTAAGATAAATTTTGGAAACAATTTTAAACATGAAAATAAAATGTTCTCCTGCTTGCAAAATTACTGTCCCACGCAAGGCCACAATAGCAAATTCTGCATTTTATCCTAGAAGTTCTATACAAACTATCTTTTGGGCAATGATAATGGTTTTCCCACCAGCTTAAAGAAAAATCACTTCTGACTGCAGTAAATATACCGGAAAACATGGAATCTTTTCACACTGTTAGCTGGTTTTTATCCACAAGCGTTAAGTTTATTTCCTCTACGGCAACTCGGGGTTTGACAGCTTTCTGGACCCCCCCCCCCCCGGCCGACTCGGTAGAAGCCCTACTCCGCCTCTAAACGTGGTTGTCGGGAGAAAATAAATCATTTAACTCAACATAAACTGCTAATAATCAACTTTCAAAGGTCAAAGGGGACCCAGTTTTTAACCTTCCCCTCAGCAACACGTGTTTAGTACAAACTTCCGGGTGCGGTTACAATTGGCTGCGCAATTCAATGGATAAAAACGTTGCTTTATTTGACTCTCATTTTCTTGCCGGTTCTTTCCCCCACGTTTCTCAACCAGCAACTCCCCAAAACAAAAGCTTCCTACAGTAAACGGAACCAGAACATAAAAAGGGCTTCGCTGTGCGAGGATCAAGTTAGTGGTCCGCAAACATTAACCAAACAGCAGCACAAAGCCGAGGTGGAAAGGGGAGGAGCTGGATGCCAGGGTCAGGAAAGAAACAATCACAAGGGTTCAGGAACATCCAAATCTCCTCAGCGGTTAAACGGACCCCAAACCACTTCTGGGAAACCACCCGCATACGCCGGTTTGGGGAACTTAAATGCTCGTTACACCAAACACCCTTAAAGTAAGCAAATCCCCAACCGCCTTTCCCTACAGATGCTTCGGGTCTAGAAGGCGAGCGAGCTCCGACAAAATTAACCTCATCACCCGGTGAGGCTTGAAGGTGGCCCCCACGTGTCCCGTGCACCGCCGCGACGCCCTGAGAGCAAGGTAATCAGAGAACTGCTGGTGTGGGGGTCAGACTTACGGCGCCCCTATCTCGTCCCGCACTCGCCCCAAACCGGGAGCAACCCTCGGGCATGAGGACTCTTGAAGGATTGCGGAGCTCACTTTCCTGCGGGTCCGGGACCTCGCAGTTCCTGAGCGCAGCAGGGAAAGCAAGGAGGGCGACCCCAGTGGAGCCGGAGCCGGCGTCCGCAGATCCTGCCTCCCCGCCCAAACTGGGTGACTCTGGCCCGGGACAGCGGGGGCCCCCGGGGCCTGAGAGCCCCCACGCGCAGCGACCGCAGGGCCCGGCGCTGACGGGCGGAGGAAGCGAGAGCGGCGGGGCCGCCGCCGGGACCTTGCCCCCAAGAGCCCCGGGGCGCGCAACTGAGGGGGCGTCGAGGGGCGGGGGAGGCCCCAAGCCGGGGTGAGGTGGCTGCCCCCGCCCCCAGCCCGGCCCCACACGGCCCCCTGAGGAGGGTGGGAGTGGGAGGCTGGCTGTCCGGGAGGGGGAGTGTGGAAGCAGAAGAGGGCTGAGAAGGACTTACTTTCCCCGCGGGAACCGACGCCGGAACAGCTTCTCTGGGGAGGCGAGAGCTTGAAGAACTAGAGGCGACTGGAGCGGAGGCGGCGGTGGCGGCGGCAGCGGCGGCGTCCGGCTCTGCCTACCTCCCCGCCGCCATCTTGACGCCCCTCCCCCCAAACCCCCGCCCCGCCGGAGGGGAGGGGGTGGGGCGACGGATGAGGCGCCGCGCGCACGCAGCGCGCACCGCGCGCCCCACGTGACTTCCTCCCTCCCCCCCCCCACTCCGCTCCCTAGTGCCCCCCTCCGCCCCGCCTCCCTCCTAGGTGAAGGAAGATGATTTCCCCCCCCCATCTTGACCGCCCCCTGCCTTCGCTGCCAAGCACGGACTCCGCCGGCTCCAGCCGACCCAGTACCAGTGGTTGGATCCAAGAGAATTCCGGAACCCAAACGGCCCATTACCGCGGCTCCGGGGTGGGCGAGGGGTGAGGGGGCCGGGTTTCCGAGAAGGGGGAGGGGGGAAGGCGAAGGCCTCCTAGAAGAGTCACGTGTCTACTGCTTCCGCTGGCGCTCGAAAGACCTCGCGAGAATTCCGTCCCCCCCCCCCCCCCTTTCTGCCCCGCGGGCTGCCGGGAGGAAGGTCTGGGCGCTCGGTTGCCACGAGGAGGTCAGCCGGTGGGCTGGGCGCATGCGTCCTACACCTGCTTTCAAAGTCCGGCTAGGAGGGGCCCGAAGCTATTTCGATAACCTTTTTGGTGTGTGGCTTCAGCCGAGGAAGTTACCTAGTGGCGTCTCTGTTACTTTGGGAAGCTCTTCATTACGCAAAAAAATATTCACGTATTCCCATTGCTTGTTAGGCTCGCTCAAAGCACTTTATTCAGTATGAAACCGCAGTATAACTCGGAGCCCCTCTTCTGGTCCACTGCCATTATCATACCCTAAGGGGTGTGAGCAGAGTCAGCCCCAATTTTTTTCTGAACAAACTATTGCTCTTAATTAATGACTGCTGCAGAGATCTGTCGCTACCATCTCTCGATTCCCTAACTTCTCCTCCTCCACTTCCTCCTCCTTTTTCTTCTTCTTCTTATTATCAAATGACCTAACAGAATAAACAGATTAACTTCTTAGTAACCCTTTTGTAAAGTCATTCTGAATGCTGTTTGACTCCGTTGCTTAGGTAATAGGCACGCCTGGGTGATTCTTGCCCCCTACTGGTGGCGCATCTCACTGGCCTTGAGCTGAAAGAAACGCTTGGAGTTTAAGGTGTAAACTCTTCAAGAGAAAGTAGAAGGAAAGGGGGGAGGAAAATAAAAAGTAGTCATGTTAAGATGATTATGAATCTTCCAATTCGGCGTCTGTATACATAAGTATGTATTATATATGTACATACATATAAATGAACATTTTAAATTGCAGACTAATCACTTTACTTCCATTATCTCATTTCATCCTTACACATCAAAAAACACCTGGTAAAAGTAAAAATGATAAAACTAGTTCCATAAGAACAATGCCCTCATCTGTCTTGTTCATTGCCAGCCACTAGAGTAGTTTATGGTCTAGTGTCAGCAAGCAAGCTATTACAAATCTGTCCGTTATGGAAGAAGAAAGAACTAAGGAAAGGATGCAGGGGGAAAAAATCTAAAACATTGTAGTTAATGCATCAGTGTCTTCCAAGCTTGGTACAGTTCAATTTCCAAGGGACACTCAAACTCTCTCTGCATGCTAGGACTACATAAGTACTAGATTCTAACAGTGTAGGTCTGAGCCTTAGAGGTACTTTCTGAGCATCCAAACTAGATCCTTGCTGCCATCTCTGCATAATCTCCTTATCTGGGACCCAAGTAAAAGGTGGTGTTTCAGGAGATACTCGCAATGTAACTATGCTTATGCACACAAATGTCATGCACAAGGTTATTCCCTGCAGCATTATTTGTAGAACCAAAAGATGGGAAACCACCTAAATGTCTTTGAAGAAAGTTAACTACACTGTGGTACTTTCCTACAGTGAAACAGTTGTTCAAGAGAATGAAGCACTTCTGTCTCTGAGAATGTGTAGTAACATATTTTGCTTGTGTGTACACATACAGCATCTCAGAATGACGTGAGTAGCAGTTGTTATCAGTGGATGGGAATCAAGCTACTGAGGATCAGAAGCAGGAGGAAGACTTATTGGGTACATCCAGAACAGAGATGCTATTGGAAGATGATTGGGGAAAAAAAAAAATTCCCTGTTAAGGCGTGGTATTGGCTGTTACAGCTGCACTTTGCCCTCCAACAAGTATTTATAGAGCCCTTGCTGTGCACCAGGTACTACGTTAGAGATGAGGGGCACAAATTTAAGAAAACCAAATGAAGGGAGAGACAGGGATGGTCCCTGCCCATAATGTCCTTACAGTCTAGTGGGCATCAATCCAAAAATTACGCAGAATGTAAACTTGTAGGGGTGCCTGGGTGGCTCAGTCGGTTAAGCGTCTGCCTTCGGCTCAGGTCATGATCCCAGGGTCCTGGGATCGAGCCCCACATTGGGCTCCCTGCTCCCTGCTTGGTGGGGAGCCTGCTTCTCCCTCTGCCCTTCCCCCTGCTTGTGTTCTCTCTCTCTCTGTCAAATAAGTAAAATCTTTATTTTTTTTTAAGATCTTATTTATTTATTTATTTGACAGAGAGAGACAAGTGAGAGAAGGAACATAAGCAGGGGCAGTAGGAGAGGGAGAAAGCAGGCTTCCTGAGGAGCAGGGAGGCTGATGTGGGGCTCGATCCCAGGACCCTGGGATCATGACCTGAGCCAAAGGCAGACGCTTAATGACTGAGCCACCCAGGCGCCCCAATAAGTAAAATCTTTAAAAAAAATGTAAACTTGGGGTGCCTGGGTGGCTCAGTTGGTTAGGCGTCTGCCTTCAGCTCAGGTCATTATCCTGGAGTCCCAGGATTGAGCCCCGTATCAGGGTCCCTGCTCAGCGGTGAGTCTGTTTCTCCCTCTGCCCCTCACCCCACTCATGCTTGCTCTCTCTCTCTCTCTCACTCAAATAAATAAATAAACATAAGGGGTGGCTGGGTGACTCAGTCATTAAGCGTCTGCCTTCGGCTCAGGTCATGATCCCAGGGTCCTGGGATTGAGCCCCGCATCAGGCTCGCTGCTCCCTGGGAAGCCTGCTTCTCCCTCTGCCGCTCCCCCTGCTTGTGTTCCCTCTCTTGCTGTGTCTCTTTCTGTCAAATAAATAAAATCTTTTTTAAAAAATAAACATAAAAATAAATAAATAAATGTAAACTTGTAACTGTGACATTGTTGCAAAGAAGCTAACAGCCTCTTACAGCGGAATTTGACGTCATCAGGGAAGTCAAGGTTTCCTTGAGGAAGTGATAACTGAGCAGAGATTTGAAAAGTAGGTATTATGTAGGCAAAGAGAAGAGGGAACTGCATTTCAAGAAGAGGAAACAGCATATGCAAGTGTTCTGAAACAGGTGGGAGCCAAGCAAGGAGGGACAGTAACAGGGCAAGGGCATCAGTTCTTAAGACATTGTCTCTCGGCTCCAAACCCAAGCTTCCACAGTCTGCAATACTACATTTCTGCTTTCCCAGCTGTTTCAGTATTTGCTTCTGCGATAGGGAGGGCTGGAGGGAGACGACAAGGCTGGAGGAAGAAAAAGTTTCTTGTGAACGTCATCCCAGCAACACGTCTTCACCCTGGCAGCTGCATTTCCTCCCCATAGCAGCCGCTCTACTCACTTTTCCCCAAGTCTGCAGCACTAGCCTCATCAAACCCTCCTCTCAGACAGGAGGACCAGCAGGAACCTCCACAGAGTCCTCCGGTAAGGTCAGAGACACTAGCACCTTGGAGTTAAGTTTCAACAACATGGGGCCCCTCTTTTAGGTTTCTTAGTGACTCCAACCCCTTCCTTTTGTCCCCTTAGCCTGAGTGGCGAGAGCTGCTTCCTGCAGTTGCTACCTCTGTGAGGCCTTAAAGTTCTCTTTTCACCCTTTCAAGTTACCTAGTTAAGCAGTTTAGACCTAGTTAACAATTTTTTAAAAGATTTTATTTATTTATTTTGAGAGAAAGAGCGGGAAGGGGGCGGGCAAAGGGAGAGACAGAATCTCAAGCAGACTCCTACGGAGCACAGAGCCCAACATGGGGCTCCATCTCATGACCCTGAGATCATGACCTGAGCCAAAATCAAGAGTCGGATGCTTAACACACTGAGCCACCCAGGCGCCCCCTTACATTAATTTATCTCTATTCAAAACCTGGTGTGGTTTCTGCCTCCTGTGTGAACTTTGATTGACATAGCAAGTAACAAGGAATTATCAGTAGGATTATAAAAATAGATGAAGGCCATTCTCAAAGAGCCTTTTGTAACTGAGTTTGGACTTTATTCTGTAGGCCACAGGGAACTCAGAAGCCTGCTATGCAGAGAACTGCTATGGTTGGATGTGCATTCTAGAAGGATCACTCTGGAAGCAGTGTAACAGATGGATCTAAGAACTGGACTGCAGGTATGAGGAACAGACAGGTTGAGAGAAGATAAGAACAGAAACTGAAATGGAGCAAAATTGTTGAGCAGGGGGCACCTGCGTGGCTCAGCCGTTAAGCATCTGCCTTCGGCTCAGGTCAGATCCCAGGGTCCTGGGATCGAGCCCCACATCGGGCTCCCTGCTTGGCGGAAGGCCTTCTTCTCCTTCTCCCACTCCCCCTGCTTATGTTCCCTCTCTCGCTGTGTCTCTCTGTGTCACATAAATAAAATCTTTAAAAAAAATTGTTGAGCAAAAGAAGAGGGCGAGATTCGAGAAATATTTAGGAGGTAAAGCCAGCAACACGTAGTGGCTGGTTGGATGGGGGTTGTGGGGAGGAAGGAGTCTAGAATGAAGCCTCAGTTTCTCCCTTTGGTACCTAGGTAGATAATACTGCCATAGCTGAAACTATGACTTCAGGAAGACAAACAGATGTGAAGAGGAAGACAATGAGTTTAGCTTTAGATACTGTGGAAAGTTTTGCTTATCTATTGCTATGTAATAAACAACCCCCAAACGTAATGACTTAACATAACAACCATTTTGTTATTTCTCATGATTCCGCAAGCTGGGCTGGGCTCAGCTGAACAGTTCTGCTGGTCTTGCTAATATTCACTTGTGTGACTATAACTAGGTGGGCTCGTCTAGGATGCTGGGACTGCTGTATTTCCCTCTCCATGTGGTCTGTCCAGTTGCCTCATGGTTCTTACCTGGTGGCTCTGGGCTCCCAAGAACCCAAAAGCCGAAGCTTCCTAGCCTCTCTTGAATTTTAGCCTTGCAACTGACACAGTGATGTTTCCACCATATTCTGTCAATTAACAAGGCCACACAAGACTCAAGGAAAGACAACACAAGAGTATGAAGGGGGTGGGGGGGCCTGGCTGGCTCAGGTCAGTAGAGCATGCAACTCTTGATCTTGGGGTTGTGAGTTCAAGCCCCGTGTTAGGTGTAGAGATTACTTAAAAATAAAATCTTTAAGTTAAAAAAAAAAAGTAGGGGCGCCTGGGTGGCTCAGTTGGTTAAGTGTCTGACTCTTGATCTCAGCTCAGGTCTTGATCTCAGGGTCATAAGAGCTCAAGCCCCATGCTCGGCTCCATACTGAGCATGGAGCCTACTTAAAAAAAAAAAGAGTATGAATGGTGGGAGGAATTGTTCATTAGAGGCCATGAAAGTAAGTCTATCTTGAGGAATTTTAAGGGGCCAATGGGACATCCAATTGGAGATGTCTAGCAAGCAGCTGGGAGTCTACAGCTTGAGGATCTAGACAGGGATTAAAACGTGAGAGAGGGGGCGACTGGGTGGCTCAGTCGTTAAGCATCTGCCTTCGGCTCAGATCATGATCCCAGGGTCCCAGGATTGAGCCCCACGTTGGGCTCCCTGCTCCACGGAAGCCTGCTTCTCCCTCTCCCACTCCCCCCACTTGTGTTCTCTCTTTCGCTGTCTCTCTCTGTCAAATAAATAAATAAAATCTTAAAAAAAAAAAACAAACATAAGAAAAGATAAAACTAGAGAGAATACAGAGAGAAAGGCAGGGGGCCAAGGGCAGAACCCTAAGGTTGTATAGCTAAGAGGTGAGCACTCAGTGAGCCTGACGAAGGTCAGTCAGCAAAGTCAAAGCAGAGCCAGGGAGAAATTACATCATGGATGCCAAGGAAACAGTTTCAAGGACTGAGTGGCCAGCAATATTGAATGTAGCAGACAGCACCAGAATATGACTAAAGCATCTATTGGATTTCTTTCTTTTTTTTTTTTTTTTAAGATTTTATTTATTTACTTGACAGAGAGAGACACAGTGAGAGAGGAAACACAAGCAGGGGGAGTGGGAGAGGGAGAAGCAGGCTCCCCGCAGAGCAGGGAGCCCGATGCGGGACTCGATCCCAGGACCCTGGGATCATGACCTGAGCTGAAGGCAGTCGCTTAACCAACTGAGCCACCCAGGCGCCCCGATCTATTGGATTTCTCACAATGGCAGACATCATAGTGGATAGAAGTTTTTTGTGTTTTTTTTTTTCTTTTTGAAGACTTTATATTTTTTTTAGCAGTTTTATATTCATAGCAAATTTAAGGGGAAGGTACAGAGACTTCCCATAGACCCCCAACTCCCACACATGCACAGCCTCCCCAATTATCCATATCCCTTACTGGAATGGTACATTTGTTATAGTTGTGCTAGACCTACCTTGATGTATCATTATCACCCGAAGTCCATAGTTTACCTTAAAGTTCACTCTTGGTGGTGTACATTGTATGGGTTTGGACAAATGCATAATGACATATATCTATCACTATCCCAAAAATCTTCTGTGCTCTGAAACGTGTTGTTTTTGACTACCCCAAATCCATCTCTCCTTCTTCAGATAGTGGCACCTTAATTTTATCTCTGTCTCTCAAAGTCCATGTGGTTTGGAAAGCGCTAATCATCTCCAATACAAATTCCCCCCAAGTGGGGCATTTAATTCAAGTCTGGCCAATTGGAATGCTCGATGCACATCCAGGCCCAATTGGTAGATTTAGTGCCAAGCCAATGAGTTTCAGTTTCAGAACTTTACATTGAAAATAATAGGAAAAAGAGGTGCCTGGCTGGCTCAGTCGGTAGAGCATGTGACTTTGGATCTTGGGGTCATGGGTTCAAGCCCCACGTTGGGCATAGAGCTTACTTTAAAAAAAAATAAAAAATAAACAGAACATTATAAAACATAATACATCAGCTGAAAGTAGTAGGAAAAAGTGCGTCACCACTAGTGTTGCTAAGAGCACTGGGAAATGGGGGCAGAGGCCATGTGGAATGAGAGACCACTCTGTGAGGCCAACCTAGAGAGTGGCAGGGCAAAGAAGTGGAAGGGAGGGAGAGGGAGAGACTAAATCCAGATGACATTCTTGGGCTCACTGGATCCCATCAGGCCTGAAGTTACCCCTACCCTTGAACTTCTCTGTTACAAGCAATAGTAGACTTGTTCATTTCCTTGAGCCAGGTTGAGCTGGGTTTCTTTATTTTTTTTTTAAAGATTTTTATTTATTTATTTATTTGAGAGAATGAGCAGGGAGGAGGGGCAGAGGGAGAGAGAGAGAGAGAGAAGCAGACTCCCTGCTGAGCAGGGAGCCTGACATGAGGCTTGATCCCAGGATCTCATGAGCCTGACCTGAGCCGAAGGCAGACACTCAACTGACTGAGCCACCCAGGCGCCCTGAGCTGGGTTTCTTTAATTTTCAATCCGAAACAATCTTGACCAATACAGATACTAATTAAAAATGGAAAAGTTGGAAGGTTGAAACATATATTTAAACTAATTTTTAAAAAGTCTTCACTGGCTTCATTATCAAACTTTTTGGAGTATAGACTGATATGGACTCAAACTGTCCCAAGAAGAGTATGGACATTTTTAATCCACATAGAGTTACCTCTGTAGGAAAGGGAAAAACAGAATGGAAGAATGGTAGAGAGATGAAGGCAAAGACTTCTGGCACAGGTCCTTAGGCCCAAGTAACAAGGGTTGAGTTTCTTGCCTTTAAACACGTCAGGTATCCAAGAATCATTACCTGTTCCTTTTCTTTTCTTTTAAGATTTTATTTATTTATTTGACAGAGAAAGACACAATGAGAGAGGGAACACAAGCAGGGGGAGTGGGAGAGGGAGAAACAGGCCTCCCACGGACCAGGGAGCCCGACATGGGGCTCCATCCCAGGACCCTGGGACCATGACCCGAGCCGAAGGCAGACGCCTAACGACTGAGTCACCCGGGCGCCCCTGTTACCTCTTTCTTAATATGGATTTTCAGAACGTTCTGACAACTCTTCACACACAAAAAGCGTTTATCATCATTATTTGTTTGGATCATTGCTATAACCTGGCTCTACCTTCTCTAAGGTATCATAGTAGCGTATGCACAGAATAGTGCTGGAGCAGGGGAGTGAGATTTAGGAGGAGAAGAGTTTCTGTTTAAATTTTTCACTCTGTGTGTGTATTAACTTAAAATAATACTTTTTTTTTTTAAGATTTTATTTATTTAGGGGCGCCTGGGTGGCTCAGTTGGTTGGGCGACTGCCTTCGGCTCAGGTCGTGATCCTGGAGTCCCGGGATCGAGTCCCGCATTGGGATCCCTGCTCGGTGGGGAGTCTGCTTCTCCCTCTGACCCTTCCCCCTCTCATGCTCTCTCTCTCTCTCATTCTCTCTCAAATAAATAAAATCTTTATTAAAAAATATTTTATTTATTTATTTGAGAGAGAACAAGAGCGTTTAGGAGTGGGGAGGAGGGGCAGAGGGAGAGAATGAAGCAGATTCCCCACTGAGCAGGGAGCCCCATGCGGGACTCGATCCAGGACCCCAGGATCATGACCTGAGTCAAAGGCAGATGCTTAACCAACTGAGCCACCCAGCACCCCTTTTTCTATGTTTTTATAAGGGATGCCCTGCTATTCATTTTTGTAAATTTCCCTTAAAAGCGTCACATTTAAGATATCTAAATTATTAAACACAGGCACACTAATGTCATGGGCTGAATTGTGTCCCCCACGAATTCATATGTCAGAGTTCTAACCCCCAGTACCTCAGAATGTGACCTTGGAGACAGAGTCTTTACAGACCAAGTTAAAATGAAATCATTAGCATGACCCCTAATCCAACATGACTGTGTCCTTATAGAAGGGGAATTTGGAGACATGTGGGGATGGGGGGAATGCCATGGGGAGATGAAGACAGAGGTCAAGGTGATGCTTCTACAAACCAAGAAACGCCTGAGTTTGTCAGCATACCACCAGAAACTCGGGGAGAGTCATGGAGCAGACTCTTCCCGACAGCCCTCCAAGGGAGCCAGCCCTGCCAATACTAGAACGTGAGGCCATTATGTTTTTGTTGTTTAAGCCACTCAGTTTGTGGTGCAGGATTACAGCAGCCCTGGCAACCTAACCCAACTGTTCCGTACATCTCTCAGAGAGAAAATGACGTCTAGTCACCCCTTCAAATTCACAAATTAAAGGTCTATCCAAAAAACAAAATAAAAGCCCACACAGAAAAAAATTTAAAAAGCACATTGTAAATTTAGAGTTTGATCTGAGCTCTTAAACCACCTTTAAGCTGACTTTTCAAACAAACACCCTTACTGGCCAATACATACATTCTCCATTTGCTTTTTTTTTTTTTGTCTAAAATTTTTTTTTATTCTTACGTTAATCCCCATACATTACATCATTAGTTCTAGATGAAGTGTTCCATGATTCATTGTTTGTGCATAACACCCAGTGCTCCATGCTGAATGTGCCCTCCTCAATACCCACCACCAGGCTAACCCATCCTCCCACCCCCCTCCATTTGCTTTTTTAAGAAAATGATAACCTTTAAGGTATTCCCAATCAACTGAAGAACTAGTTTATAATACCTTTTCTTAAAAAGAGATACGGGAGGGATGCCTGGGTGGCTTATTCGGTTAAGCAGTTAAGCACCTGACTCTTGATCTCAGCTCAGGTCTACATCTCAGGGTCGTGAGTTCAAGCCCCCCGTTGGGCTCCAACGCTGGCTGAGGAGCCTACTTAAAAGAAATGGGGGGGGGGGGGCGCCTGGGTGGCTCAGTCAGTTAAGCGTCTCCCTTTGGCTCAGGTCATGATCCCAGGGTCCAAAGGGTCTGCTTCTCCCTTGCCCTCTGCCCCTCCTCTCTTCTTGTGCACTCTCTCTCTCTCTCAAATAAATAAAATCTTTTTTTTTAAAAGGATGTGGGTTGGATAGAAGACACACCCATTTAACAGATGAGTAAAAAGACTCAAGCAAAGAAGTCATTGGCTCTATTTCATCTGATACCAAATTTTATGCTATAGATACCACTTTTTGTGTATTCTCTCCATGCTCAGTAACAAGGAGCTTGACCATAGAATCCTCTCTTGAAGTGCTACTTAGTAGACAAGTTTTGGCTTCCCTCTGAGAACACCAAGAAAAGAATGAAGATAGAGAAGAAAGTGTTAATAGCCCAAATTACAGCAATTCCCTAAGATGCAATTTTGTAACTTTATTTTAGTCACTGCTAAATGGCTACCATTTCCAACTCCTACATCTCCATATGCTTTATATTCATTCTCTCATTTAATCCTAACAATAAGCCTCTGAGGTAAAGAGTATTGTTTTACTGTCACTTGCTTGAGTTCCAAATGTCTTACATATATTGTATATATATTACCTGTTAATATATGTATATAGAGAGGGGAAATTTTATATATATGTGTGTATCCATCCATCCATACTTACATATATATTTATATGCATATATAAATACACACAGAGACATATAATAAAAAAGAATACATATGTGTGTTTATATATTACATGTATTCACAGAAAAATGGATTGGATTTAGTAGATTGCGGTGGCCACCAGCTGAGGAACTTTAGGATACACATGCCCCATTTGATAGAACCTTACAAGAACTGATGCTAACATGAAATATTTAACAATAGCAAAAGCCTGGAGCAAATATGAATGCAAAAATAACACTAGAGTAAGGAAAGTAATCTTAGCACTGGTGTGATTTCACCCACATGATGTAACCATCTTAGGAAAGTGGGGATCATTAAGCAAACATTCCAGAAACATGTCACATTATTCCAAGATTCCAAGCCTCAAAATAGATTATTGTAAATTATGTAACTATTTGCAGTGATTAACTGTTCATATTCACCAATCTATCCATCCTTGGCTTAAAACCATTTAGTGACTTCCCATTAGACTTGAAAGAAAAGTGTGAGCCTTACCATGCCTTTCGTGTTGGTCTGGGTCTAGGAAAACAGAATTTAAAATAGGAAATTTGTAAAAGAGGTGGTGGGAACACTAAGGTAACTTTACTGCAGGAAGTAGCTCCCACCTTGATGGAGAACAAGTTAGGGAGATCAGAGCTAGAAGAATCAGAAGGGGAGCCTGTAAGAACCTGGAGACTGAATCAAATGCCACTGTGAGAAGCAGCATTTCATTACTTAGGTGACCATGATGAGAACGGCAAGTAAACAGTCATGAGTAAGTCCCTTTTCCCTCCCCCCGCCTTCCAGATTCCCCAGATTCTCTCCTGGTGACAAAACCTAACCGTAGCTGACAAAAGAGCAATATGGTTTGCAGCCCCAATATTGTGGAACGGAATAGAGAAAACTGGATTTGGAACTCAGAGGCCAGCCCAGCCTTCAAGGGCCGATGTGATCTAGCACCTGCCTACGTGTCCAGCCTGATCCATTCCATTCTCCCCACCCATGTGCTCAATTCCAATCACACTGGGTGTCTTTTTCTTTCCCAAGCACACTAAGCTCATTCCCACCTCCAGACATTCACACATGCTATTCCCTCTACCTAAAAGTGCCTTTTCCCTTGGGTCTTATTTATTTAGGGTATAACTTAAAGCCACCAACCAGAGGATTTCTCTGACTTCATCAGATCTACAGAAGCAACCCTCTCCCCACTCATGTTCTGTAAAATTCCCCCATTTTCATCTTACTCATAGCATTAATCACTATTTAAAATTATCTTTTTTTTTTTTCCCTAAGATTTCATTTTTAAGTAATCTCCACACTCAACATGGGGCTCAAACTCACAACTCCGAGATCAAGAGCTGCACACTCCAGGGGGACCTTGGTGGCTCAGTTGGTTGAATGTCTGCCTTAGGCTCAGGTCATGATCCCCAG